TGATGATCTTTTATAGCTTGCAATGATTTTTAGACCAAATATAGGAGTCTTATTACTCATTATTAGTGAGAATGTTATGTGATTAAACAAGAGTGCACAGGCTGAAATGCCTCTCCTGCTCTACTATCAATAATTTATTTTATGTTGATAGTCCTAAAGATATAAGTTTACTACACTTACATAATCTTAATATTATCAATGATTTATGAAAATAAGGTCAAGGTCAGATATACCAAGTCAGACAGACATATGCACCATACAATCATTACATACATCAAATATAGTTGACCTATTGCTTATAGTATACAAAAACAGACCAAACCATAAAAATTTAATATTGACCAAAAAACTGAAAATAAGGCCAAGGTAGGATAAAACCTGCCAGACGACAAGTCAACCATACAATCATTACATATATCAACAAGAATGTGTCCATAGTACACGGATGCCCCATTCGCACTATCATTTTCTATGTTCACTGGACCGTGAAATTGGGGTAAAAACTCTAATTTGGCATTAAACTTAGAAGGATCATATCATAGGAAACATGTGTACTAAGTTTCAAGTTGATTGGACTTCAACCTCATCAAAAACTACCTTGACCAAAAACTTTAACCTGAAGCGGGACAGACGGACGGACTGACGAACGAACGAACGGAAGCACAGACCGAAAAACATAATGCCCCTAGGTGGGGCATACAAATAGTTGACCTTATTGCTTATAGTATCTGACAAACAGACTTACCCAAGAAAACTTAACATTAAATAAAGAACCATAAAGAATCCTACCAGACAGACATGCATACATTACAATCATTCATACACCAAATATAGTTGACCTATTGCTTACAGTATCTTAGAAAAGGACTTTACTACTGAAACGCAACATTGATCATTGAACTATGAAAATGAGGTCAAGAACAGATGAAACCTGCCAGACCTGCCAGACATACATGTACACCTTGCAATCACTTTATGCACCAATTACAGTTGACCTATCGCTTATAGTATTAGAAGAAGAAAAACCACAAAGTTAACATTAGCCAATGAACCATGAAAATGAGGTCAAGGTCAGATGAAACCTGCCAGACTGACATGTACACCTTACAATCATTCCATACACGAAATATAGTTGACCTACTGCTTACAGTATCCCAGAAACAGACCTAATCATGGAATTGAAGCCTTTATCACCAGAGGCGGATTTAGAGGATTTTCCGGGGGCCCGGCCCCCCTTTTGTGGGAAAAATTTGGTTGATTATTTAGGGAATCACTGAAGCATGACTGGAGCGGGTCCCCTCTTAGGCAGTCAGTGGGCCCCCCTTATGAAAATTTCTGGATCCGCCACTGACCACAGATCCATGAAATGAGGTCAAGGTCAGGTGAACCCTGTCTGACGGACATGTAAACCTTGCTAGGAACCCATATGCCAAATATAGGTATCCTATTACTCATAAAAAGTGAAAATTTAACTTTTGTTCAAGCAGTTGCTGAAAATAAGGTTAAGTACAACAGACATATGGAAAGTTCGTAATATAAGGCATCTGTAAACAAGGCATGAAGCCTCCAAGTCTACTACTCTCTGAAATATAAAGTTTAATACAAAAGGTCTACAAACATCCCCCCCCCCCCCCTTACCGATTGTAATCCCTATGTCTCATATTCTGCAACGTTTCGTCGCAGGCCAAACAATAACAAGAGATTATTTAACCAATCAATATCATAATTACATTAACTGGTATTATAAAATTATTCAAAGTTGTACCATATTTGGTCGAATATAATCAGCACTTTTTTACCCCAAAATATGTAGTTGGAACAGGGGACCCTTATTATACACAACTGTAGACGGTTTTCAAATTTTATTTTTTTTTAAACATTATTTTTTACTTCATTATTGAATATTCCTAAATAGGTAATTAAGGATAAAATATGGGTGTGTAGCAATAAAATAATAATGTGAACTTTTGACAGGTGTTCAATATAACATCAGGCTCCAAATTAACATGGTCAATGAAAAGAAAATATAGGATTAAAGAGTTTTAAAATTTTTAATTACTGCTAATCAATTTAGATAAATGTTTGATATCTTTTCTTTTGTTCCATAACATTCAAATTGTTTCTTTTATAATATTTGAACAGTGCATCAGCTTTGACAAGCTTAGGCAAATGTTGATTTTAAAAGGGATCTTTGATCAAGTACTTTAATTTTATAAAATAAATAAATGTTAATCACATGATAAAGGCTCGACCATTTAATTGTTTATGACTTTAATGAAATTAATTGATTAAACAAAAAATATTACAAATTATATTTGATTGAACAAACAAGCTTATAAATCATTTATATCTTTCAACTAAATGGTGTGTTAGTTCTCTATTAAAGACTTTTTACAGTGAACTAGAATTTTTTCACGATTTTTTTTTTGGGGGGGGGGGGGGGGGTGAAAAGGAAGTGTGTATTATACACAAATGTGTTACATACACGGCCGAGTACGGTATTATAAAATTTGATATATAATTAAGAATAATAACTCTTTTTAATGGAGTCAATTAATGGTTTCCATCAAATTCTTCATTTTGAAGATCTAACTTGTATTGCCGATCATTTTTGCTGTTTTACAGTTTTTATCTATCTTGTTAAGTTTTCAAGATAATTGATAAAAAATCATAGTGTTTGTACAATAACTCATATAGAGTCAATTGATGATTACAGTCATATTAATAATTTTTAGACCCTCAACTGCTGATCTTTACAGTTTTCAAGATGTTATACTCAAATGTTAAAATAAGTTAAAATAAACTGTTGACACAGAGATATGTCGCTTCTGTCGGCATATAATTCAGAACTAGAGGCTCTCAAGAGCCTGTGTTGCTCACCTGTATTTACTGATGCTTTGGAAATCATGTAAAATAAGGTTAAAATCATAATTAATAGTATTAGATATTAGATATTATAATGATATGTAAGATAATAACAAAAAACTGCAAAATTTTTGTAAAATTACTAACTCATGGGCAGCAACCCAACAACGGGTTGTCGGATTCGTCCGAAAATTTCAGGGCAGATAAATCTAAATCTGATGAACATTTTTGCCACCTGTCAGATTTGCTCTAAATGCTTTAGTTTCAGAGATATAAACCAAAAACTGCATTTTACCCCTATGTTCTATTTTTAACCAAGTCAGCCATGATGGTTAGAAGGCGGGGTCATCGGACAAATTTTTTAAACTAGAAACCCTTATAATGATTATGGCCAAGTATGGTTAAATTTGTCTCAGTAGTTTCCGAAAAGAAAGTTTTTGTAAAAGATTACAAAAATTTACAAAAAATTGTTAAAAATTGACTATTAAGGGCAATAACTCCTAAAGGGGTCGACTGACAATTTTGGTCATGACAACTTATTTGTACATCTTACTGAACATTATTGCTGTTTACAGTTTATCTCTATCTATAATAATATTCAAGATAATAACCAAAAACTGCAAAATTTCCTTAAAATTACCAATTCAGGGGCAGCAACCCAACAACAGGTTGTCAGATTTGTCTGAAAATTTCAGGGCAGATAGATCTTGACCTGATAATCAGTTTTACCCAATGTCAGATTTACTCTAAATGCTTTGGTTTCAGAGATATAAGCCAAAATCTACATTTTACCCCTATGTTCTATTTTTAGCCATGGCGGCCATCTTGGTTGGTTGGCCGGGTCATCGGACACATTTTTTAAACTAGATACCCTAATGATGATTGTGGCCAAGTTTGGTTAAATTTGGCCCAGTGGTTTCAGAGGAGAAGATTTTTGTAAAAAGCTAACGACGACGGACGATGACAACGGACGACGGACGACGGACGCCAAGTGATGAGAAAAGCTCACTTGGCCCTTCGGGCCAGGTGAGCTAAAAAAGACAATCTGATGGACAGCAACATTGCTTATTAATTCAAAGTCACTGGACCATGTCCTCGGGGGCAGGGCCTCAAAATGGTCATCTAACTGATATGTACTGATAGTAATGCAACTTCATACAAAATATCATTGATCTATCACAAGTAGGTCATATCAAACTAAATTAAGCAGAAAACTGAACATTGAAAATTTGAATTAATTCAAAGTTACTAGACCATCCCTAGGGGACAGGGCCTCAAAATAGTTGTCAAACTGATATGTACTTAAAGTGATAGTAATGCAACTTTATATTAAATATCAACTATCTATCACAAGTAGTTCCTATCAAACTAACTTAAGCAGAAAACTTAACAATTGTTGACGCCAACATCATTATTGTTGCCAGAAAAGCAATCCAAATGTCTTGCTTTCTGCGACTTTTGTCGCAGGCGAACAAGAACTGCTAGAAGACGTCTGATGATTTTAGAAAATATAAAAGCAAAAATTATTTACAACACAAACACCTACAAAAATGCCATTATAACCTGAAACTTATGATTGACATCTTTATAAGAGTAATTGTCTGTAAATGACAATTTTTTATCAATTTTTCGAGTTTTTGCCTATTGTCTTGAACATTTAATTTATTGACAGAAACTGTAAGCAGCAAAAATTATCATCAAGACAAGATATACAAATTCAGGTAGACGACAAAGGCTCTTATTGTTATTCAACTCCCCCCCCCCCCCCCCCCCCCCTCCCTATTAATATATTTTTCACAATACTTCAATTAATAACATATTTTGAAATTATTGAAATCAAAAGATTCTAAGGAAACTAATAAGGATAAAACTGGTGGATGTTTGCACAAAACTGACGTTAGGCCAAGCTTCTTTTACGGTAAAACCTGCCTTAAACTTATTCCTCTGGGTCTAAAAATTGTTTGAAAAGGTCAAACCTGCTATAAGTAGTTCAATATTGGATTCCAAACAAGAGTTCAATTTATCAACTAAGTATAATATACAATGCAGAAAGCTGTAACATTAAAAATTGTTTTTTTGCACTCATAATAAGTGCAAATTTTTATATTAGTTTTTGGCTTAGAAACAAATATCAATTACTTTTCTGTTTTACTTCTTTATAAATAGTTTATAGACTATATCACAGTTACAATGGAATGTACAATTTATTCTATACATATGTACATAACAAAAATGGCAAATATGTGCCCCTAAAACTTGATATCAATCAATATGGGATTTATCCAACTTATGAAATTAATATGCTAAATGTTAAACAATCATTAACATGAATATTTGCAAACTGCAACAATGAGATATATTAGCAAGCAGTTAAAACAACAGGAAAATGAATCAAACTGCTTTTGCTGGAAAGAAGTAATCAGCCCTTTCAAATTTCATTAACAGAATAGATATTGACAATTTGATGCAAAGTATAAATTTAGAACTTTTCTGAAAATAACATAAAATAATCAGTATCCTATTTCCGTTTTCAAAAACATGTCATTCACCTTTTCTCTGTCTTCATGAGAGCAGAATAGTGACATAAAATGGAACACTGCTATGTCATGTAATATATATGTATTAAAATCCACTCATTATCAATTAGCCTATTACAGAAGTGTAAAAGCCAACATTTGAGATTCACAGTCATACAGATTCCTCTCACTCATCACATTCATCAATATAAATCAGACTAGCCAAGTCAACTGTCTGATTTCAACTGTCATATTTGAATGGCTTGTCTTAATTGTGGACAGTATATTTCTTTTTTCTTCTTGCATAAAACACATATGAATAAGTAAATTTAAAAACAAATAATTAAGTTGTGTCCAGATTATCGTGTGCTTGTGTTGAACTGCATGAAATAGGAGGCTGTGGGTGGGTTGGTGTAAACTTCTTTCTCCAAATACTGTTTGTGGGATTCCTGTTCAAGACCTAAACGTCTGTTTTCGTCTGCCATTTCTCTGTTGATATCTTTGTGTTTCCTGTCCATTTCTCTCTCTAACAACATACCAGCTCTGGCATTGGCATTTGCTTGCCTTGCATGTTCAATTTCTCTCAGTGTATCTTCCTGGTCTCTTCGCTATAAACAAAAGAAAATTCAAGTTAAAATGACCAATTAAATTCTAAATTTTCAACATCAACCTGACAAATCATTTGTTTGCATGAGTATTCAATTCAATGCTTTTTTTCCATATTTATAGTCCTGTTGACAACATAAATAAGTTAAGGATACCAATTTCCCTTGATAGTAGATAATATTACAGTCTAAAGTGCCTTAATAGTGTATACTGAGTAAATGGTCTATACTATAATATGTATTAATGTAATAAGAAACTTAAAATAAAAGCAATAAAATTAATTTTGAATAAAACTAAGAGCCTGTATTGACTTATGGTCTAGTACAATTTTGAAAGGAGCATGGTTTTTTGAAGCTGAATGTGCAAAATTAGAGGAAAGAAAATTTGCCAATCATAATCAAAAATTGCTTCTTGTGGTCATGTTTATCATACAATCAGAAAGGACCTTCCATACATCATTCAGGCTAATTTTTGGTTAAAATGTGCAAAGAAGTATAAGAGAAGAGAATGAAATTGTGATAATCAAAAAAAGAGTCCTATGTCCAGGTCAGTTTAAAGTATATTTACATATCTGAAGGTAAAGTTATTGCTTTTGGGAGTTTATTGACTCTTAGCATAAATTCTATTTTGAAGGACATGTACTTGCTAATGTTGTTCTCTAAATATAATTGTATCAGTTTAAATGTCCCAGGTAATCTTAAATAAAGGGCTACTGCTCCTCTCTGTCACGCTTCAAAACATATGCGCCTGAGTTCCTGTACTACTAATTGGTCAATAAACACTCATACTATCTTAAATGCTTTAAAAATATTGATTATCTTTGGAATTAGAACGCAAAACGCTATATCTTGATTTTGTTTTGAGAAAAGGGATAATTTATCACAAACCTGTTTCTCTAGCCTTTGTTTTTCTTGTTCCTTTCGTATAGCCTCTAGCTGTTGTGGACTCATTCCTTTCCACCTGTCTGGGATGACACGATGAGGACCAAATGCACTTTGAGCAACAGCAGGGTTCTCCGTTAAAGTGTCACCAAATATGTGATTGGCGATTTCTGTCATATTATCATCAAATTCTTGCTGTTTCTTAAGTCTCTCACGTTCATTTCTTTCTCTTGCCTATACAATTTAATATATCAATTAACATTTTTTATCATCATATTTCAAAACTAAATGTTCGATTAATAAATCCAGAAATACTTACTTCAAAGGACATATTCATAAATTTCAGAGGAGGTAACTCTAGCACTATTATTTAATTTTTCTGATAATTATATATGTAACAATGAAAACTAGTAAAATGTTGGTACTGCCAATAGATGCTCCGTGAAACACACATTTATTCATAGATAAGGAAAAAAGTGGCATGTACTTAAAGGGTGCAATTGAGATGGTATACTTGGCCAGACAAAGAAAATATTTACTTATTTTGGGGATTTGTCTGTGATGTGTGGTGACCAATAAAGTTAATATCTGGTAAACTATTGTAAACAAATCACATATTATAAAATACATACATAACAATGTTTCCAGAAATAAAAGACATTCTAATGTCAGTAATGAGAACTACTCATTATGTTGGAACATATGAATCATTTTATATCAATCTTGTATAGAGATCATAACTTTTAAAAATCTTACTGAGTGAAATCTTTGTGTGCTTAATCAAATCATTATGCAATAAATATAGAAATAGATTAAAGATGTAAATTATAATTTTATAGTACCAGTAATGTATTTGCTGTTTTTTTTCCTTTTACAACTAAAGCCATATGATCAAGAACTGAAAACCCCTAAATATTATATAAATGTTACAATATTCCTTTCTTTGTCAGTACCTTTTATGAACCAATTCATTATAAAATGCTTTTTTGCACATATACTACTTACTAGTGCATTATTGTAATCTGTTGTAGCCATATTTATTGCTCTTTTACAGTCATCTTCAGCTTTCTCAAGTTCCATTCCTCGTTGATCTAATTCTCTCATTTTCAGTTGATATAAACGATCTGCTTCATCCTGATTACGTTTTGCTTGTTCTTTTTCATTGGCTTGTTGTGTTGACCATTCTCGCAATTGTTCTTGTTGGAATTTTGTTCTTGCTTTATTATTAAGGTCTTCACCTGTATCAAGAAAAGGATTAACATGTAGAAATGAATGTTACACTAGACTGCATTTAATTTCACACTAAGATCAATAAGAAAGAATGTAAATATGTTGGACTATTCTAGTGACTACCAACTCAACTTGATACTTAAACCTTTACAGTAAAAATATTTAATGTTACAAAGCAGTCTTTACCTTCAAATTTTTGAATACTTGAAATACCACATCTTGGATCATCATCACTGACACGGCCAGGTTTGTCCTTCTTCAAATAATCGGGGTCATATAAATCAAACTCTCTACGACCATCTGGCTGTTGGTGTAAAGATCGGAAATCATTTAATGCCTGATTTAATGCTCTCACATCTTGCTCCTGTCTTTTCTCCAACATCTGAGAAATTTTGTCATTTCTAACAGCATCAGCAGCTGAAAATAAAATGATATAAAATTAATATAAAAATTACAGCATTTGAAGAGAATCCAAATGTTCTTACCTCTATTGTTCCACTTAGTTTGGCTCTGTCATATAATGGTGAGTCTGTCCTAAGATGAGAACCTCTACAAAATTGTTGTCTTTTAATGTGTTTATATGGTATTGGTTTTCCCGTTTGAATGGTTTTACACTAGTAATTTGTGGGGCCCTTTATAGCTTGCTGTTCGGTGTGAGCCAAGGCTCCGTGTTGAAGACCGTACTTTGACCTATAATGGTTTACTTTTATAAATTTTGACTTGGATGGAGAGTTTTCAAATTGGCACTCATACCACGTCTTCTTATATCTATATAGTAATATTGTGTTTATTTCCCTTTAAAGAACTTAGTGGCAAACATTAAGCCATCTTAGACATATGGTCAAGACACTTGTATATTTTTGAAGAAAGTATGTTGACCTCAAGATTTCTTTTGATTTTTTAATGTTTTTTTTCTGAGTCTTCTTAATGCATTCTCTAGAGTCTAGATACATGTATATATTTCCTTTTATACATGTCAGCAAGGTTATAATGATACAATTTTTAATATGACTTCAATATTTTTCATATTATAAGAAGTACTTTATTTTTCTGAACATGTATTAATTAAATCTTTTTTCAGTGTGAAATAAATCAGCTGCATGTAAAACTCTTACCCTATATGTCCTATATGCCATTTGTTACTTGTAAGTTGTAATACTGTAAAAGAATATTCTTCAGATTCTTTAGCATCCTTAAAACATGCTTAAATTTTTTGGGGCCCTTTATAGCTTGCTGTTCGGTGTGAGCCAATGCTCTGTGTTGAAGGCCGTACCTTGACCTATAATGGTTTACTTTTATAAATTGTAACTTGGATGGAGAGTTGTCTCATTGGCACTCATACCACATCTTCCTATATCTATTAAATTGCTTATTTCATATATTTATGAGTATTTTTTTAACAATAGGAATATCTTTTTAAGAAAAATTTACCAAAGGCTTCACTACGTTTCCTTTCATAATCCTCCTGTTCCTTTTTGTCTCTAACTTGTTGTTCAATAGCTTGTAAGTCTACCTAAAATTAAATAAAAAGATGAAAACAGTTCAATTACAATACATTTACTAAGGTTACAGCTTATTAATCATGTTAATATTCAAAATTTTGAAAAAAATCTTTTTTTATTAAATCAACATAGGTGGTTGCCTCCTTTAATAAATTAAACAATTGATCTGCTCTTATAGACCAATTTTAAGTTGTTTTAAATGAATGAGTTACATTGGTTGACCTGAGGTCAATTGCAATGGTTTCATGTCGATCCGGCCCCACGTCGATCCGGCCCAAGTCGATCCGTCCCACGTCGATCCGGCCCAACGTCGATCCGGCCCATATTTAAAGTCGATCCGGCCCAATAAAAAAATATATTTATAAGGAATAAAAATAAAGATATATATTAATTGTAATTCATAAATGTTTATGAATTTTATTATAATGTAAAAGGTGTACGGTAAAAAAAAATTGGCCTTTGACAAATATTTTCTTTAGATGAGTTTAAAACAACTATGTTGATTATGTTTTCATTACAAGTTTTCAAGATTATTGAGTATAATTATAATAAAAACGTATATAAAAGAATTTAGTACAATCAACAGACATCAACATTAATCAGCAGTAATTAGCATTTTCTTTCAATTGACTGTGATCTTAACAAGTCTTTCATCCTGTGTAATAACAAATAGTTACATACACAACGGTACAAGCCGATCCCCAAGCTGATACATACAAACCCCACTTCTACAAGATGGTTAATATGTTGAAGCTGCTATACAAACAGACACAATCACACTCATTTTCGTATCGATTTAAAATAATTCTTTGACTGGTACTCCAATACTTCACTTACCTGTTGTCATCCATCATCGATACTTTTTACAAATTCCATTTATACTGTTAAAATTTGTCACAAAATCCTCCAAAGTCAATATAGTTTATTCATATTTTATTATGGGGCCGGATCGACGTAGGGACGGATCGACGTGGGCCGGATCGACTTAGGACGGATCGACTTTGGGCCGGATCGACTTGGGGCCGGATCGGTTTGGGGACGGAACGACCGGATACCATTGCAATTGGTGTAAATGAAGTCATTAAATAATCAGCTCTTACTGTAACATACATGTAGGAAATGTACAGGAAAATTAATTTGAAAGTCATCTATATAATCTTTTAATCATTCAATCTCATGCACCATACTCTAGCTAATTTCATAATTCATATGTAGCAAACTCTATAGCTAGTTGTATAATTCATATAAAGGAACACATATATTTTCTGCAGTTTTGTAAACTAATAACCTTTACAAGCTCAACAGGTAGCATCTGCCCAACATAGATAACGGTAATCGGAAAAGGAGAGTAGCAGAGCTGTAGATTAAGGGTTACGTTATAGTATATGCTTCATATTACTCATCGTGAAGAGCAAACGGGAAACTGTGCAAACCAGTTTTGTATGTGGTACTGGTATGTGTACTTAAAGTGGATAGAGACCTACAGATTGGTTAAATGATGATACAATCTAGATGCAGAAAAGTAAACCTTAACTTTAGCATAATGGGTACATGTATATTCTTACCCCAATAGTTCTGCATTTAGAATTAAAAATTCTTGATTTTCTTTGTTCTTCCATCAACCTACGGCGCTCAATTGCAGCCGCTTCCTTGTAATCTACTGGAAGATCGAGTTTGTACATTTTGAAAACAAGTTGAAGATAAACACTGGAAGAAATCCGACAGTTTCACTGATTATCTCGTTGCTAAGTTTACACGGTTGTTATCCGGAAGTTGACTGCGTATCTATAAAACATATTAATAAATGTCTGATCATGTATAAAAACAATATGCATATAAATATGTCAATTTGAAAAATCCAATTTATATGAGATGATATAATTTGTCTTTTTTTAATTACAATAACGTTTTTAACAATTTTTTTGTGAGGATTTTTTCACCGCTGATTAGTCTCGTACTAATCTCGGGAAAAACGAGAACAATGGGAAGCGACGTCTGTTGGCGCTAAAAATTTGCATTCATAATGTAAACCAAAATATTTACATTTTTTAACGTAGAAGCTAAATTCGTGATTTCTTCCAATCACTCACCTGACAGCTAACGACAAATATCTTCTAGTTCAAAATGCCAGGCCACTTGAAATACATCGAAGTGGAAAACTTCAAATCATATCGTGGTAAACAAAAGATTGGACCCTTCAACAAATTTACTGCTGTCATTGGTCCAAATGGTTCAGGTAAATTATACTTGCTTGATTTGAGGCAAAGTATCATGTGACGAAACATACAAAATGATAAAATGTCTCAGTTGAAAACGGCCTTATAATATTTTATCCAAATGTAGTACAGGATGTTTTAAGTTTGCAATTATGTGCCAATCACAGGGGAGGTAATCCCTTTTTGGATGATGTGCCGCCTATGATATCCTCATCACAGCCACTCAAAACATATCTGGATGTATTGACGAGTGAAGAAACCATTTACGGCCACATATATTTTTTTAAAACACATCTTCATGTTTTGATAAGTTATGAAACCTCAAACCAGTGCATTTTACAGGTAAAATCAGTACCTATTCAGTATTCAATTCAGCATCTACATGTAAAGACCTTCAAGCTATCACTATTTAGGAATGTGTAACACTTGAACTATATTGTCATACAGCAATCACTTTCCTGGTATTGGGTCCCTTTGCTCCCTTAACTTGTTTACTCCCTACACGTTCACACCCTATGTCTATTCAATTACAGGTTGAATTATTAGATGTTTCTGATCCTAATCCTACGGTCAATATTATGACACAACTGTTCTCTTTGTGCTGGATTTTTTCATCCTGGTACTTTATTTCTCCGTTAGTATTTTTACAGGGTTTCTTCTGGTGTATATATACATGTATCAACATATTTATATTTTCATAAATAAAAATTGATGAATTTTTTTATAAATTTTTTTTTTGTTAAGTTGATTCATTATTTATTGTTGATTATTTATGATATCTGTTACTTGGTACATTGTATTTACAAAGCTAATTTGGTATTATTGATACATGTATGTGGTTAAGTGAACTACATGTATTTGGTTTGGTATGAGTAAAAACAATGAAGATGTTTCTCAAGGAGTTTTTTTATGTTTTATTTTTCAAAAACTTAAATAAGAAAACAAAAGCCCAAAACATATGTAATAAAGAAGTACATATTGTTGGCATATTGCATCTTCTGGAGACAATTTTCTACTGCATATATAAAATTCTAAGGAAAGATAAAAAAAGAGAAACAAAACAAAAATAAAATATATCGTCTACAAACCCCATCCTTCTTGTGGCTGCATCATGTTAAATTACAAATGACTCTGTTAAATTAGCTCAATGCCCATTGTTTCAGATACAGACTCCTGTATTCAATGGTTTTGATACAAATGCACAATGTTTAACATAATAAATGTTATTGATTAAATGTCAGTGACTTTGAGACGTGAGGCATGAAGAATCTATCAAACTCATAATAAATGCACAGGATTGATTAGGAAACAAATATATTGTTCAGCACAAATAAATAAAATTACATGGTAAAGATACTACCTGTGAAGGACATCCATTGAATCTCTTTTTAATTACCTTACCACAAATTACTGGTTCCTGTATGCAAAAAACTCTATTTGTAAAGTTTTACTATAAATGATAATATTGAATGAAGTGATGACATAAGGTATTGACAAACAGTTAACTTATTTACCTTGTTTTGTTCTGTTTTAGTATTTCATGTATTCCTCTATCTTAGAGAACCGTAGAGTACACAATGTAAAAAGTCCACTAATATTTTGTATAGATGAACTGAAACACCATCTAATTGTCCAGTGAAACAGCAATTAATGAATATATAAAATTCCAACATGATAAATATTTGAGGATCCCTCTGATGAGATCTATAATCCTCTTTGAAAAGCATATGATTAATTTGACAGATTGGTGAAAAATAATCACATTGATAATGCAAACTAATTGGACATGTTGACAATTGACACTAATTGTGAACGTTTTCCCACTTCATAAAACTTTTAAAAAAAATATAAAATAAACATACTGTATACATTTTAATGTAAAAAGTCAATATTTTCTTAAACAGTGACACATCTTCATGACCTCACTATGTGATATGTACATGTATGACATTAAGAGAAAAAAATCTATTTTCCCTGGTAATGACATATTTTGAATTTGAAATTAAAACTTATTAAAATGTATATTTATATTTCATTTCAGGAAAATCTAACTTGATGGATGCTATAAGTTTTGTCCTTGGTGAAAAAACATCAAACCTACGTGTAAAAAGATTAAGTGTGAGTCTCAAGAATATCACTTTTCAAATGTTTTTATTTATAAGAAATACACATGAGCACAGGTACAGATAACAAAGTGTATATGCCAAGGTAAAATTAGCTGGCTTGTAAAAAGCCTTTCAAACACACACAAATTCGGAGAGTGTTTTTTTTGTTGTCAGATTTGGATCTTAATTATTTCCTTTCGAAAATGATTAAGAAAATTACACTTACATGTACATATAAACTTCTATTCATTTTGATTTATATTTCACATGCATGTATTTTCATCAGTATGCTTATGTACAAAATATAGATGGAAACAAAATTAAGATGTGGAAAAATTTAGTTCAACACCAGCAAAACTATGTCAACAAAAATTATGACATTGTAATATTAAGGAAAATGGAAACCATTAATGTATCTAAGAAAAGAATTAACTGGTTGTTATATATTCCTGTTTATATTTTGATAAGATAAGATAAATTGACAATACAAAATATATCCAGGTGCCTGCAGAGCATCTCAAATGTATGTTATTGAACCCAACATTTTTCAAAACAATGATGGAAAAGAATCGGATTATTCAGATGTACATTTATACCTAGGGTTTTCTTGTTTGTTAATATTTTTTTAGTAAAAACTTTTTTTATTTTAAAAATCACCAGACTACTTTTCATAAGTTGTCATTTTAACCCAATCCAAACATGAAACCATGTACATGTAAATCATAATTCTTCAAGTGTAAATGAACATTTGCAATATCATTATGTATGTTAATATTCACTCACAACCCTATCTCATTCCCTTAAAGTTAAACCATATATAAAGTAATTTTTGGGTGGGTTGGGCAAAGTCCCAAACAAGCTTATAGTATGAGTATATTGTGCTGATTGGCAGTCGGGGAAAAGTGGGGATTGAAGTTATGTAATAGTCTCATCTTCTAGCTTTCAACCAAGGTCCTGAAAATATACAGAAATATTGCACACATGTTGAAGTTGTGAACCTGCTATTATGGAATTTTTTGAGAAATTTTTTCATGACTTACACATGTTGGTCATTTCTTTTGCATAATTTTCAAAAGATGATAAAAAAATTTTGTTTTTAACCTAGATCTTTGGAACATCACAGAAAGTTTGCAAAGCAACTGATGTTGTTCACCTTCCATTATGAAGTTGCTTAATGCTTTTTTGCTCCCCAATTTATATTAATGTGCAACCTGACCTTTTGAGTCCTTTTTTTCACAACATTTGTTTAATTTTTGTAGGATCTCATTCATGGAGCACCAATTGGTCAACCTGCTGCTAACAAGGCCACAGTTACAGCTGTCTATGTTAATGAAGAAACAGATGAGGATACTCACTTTACAAGAGTAATTCATGGTTCTTCATCAGATCATAAAATTAATGGAAAGGTAAAAAAAAAGAGAATAAGTAAAAAGTATAGCTGTTGTCAGGGACTGTGCTAGCCTCCAAAATGTTTTCAGCAGCATCAAAATATTGTTGCCAGCTGAAATAAAAAAATTGCAATTGGCGAAGCCCCATGCAATCCCTGGTTACAAATAATTGCAAAATATTACACTAAAAAAACAGCACAATAAAGCCAAAGGAATCAAAAGAATTTTGCACCTTATGGTTTTATGTAGCCATAATAAAAAAAGCGATGTTGTATGATTGCCCAAGAGAACCTACATGTACTCTCCACCAGAGACCAAATGACATAGAAGTAAGCAACTATAGGTCACCATACAGCCTTCAACAATAAGCAAAACCTTCACCGCATAGCAAGCTATAAAGGCCCCAAAATGACAATATCAAACCAAAACAAACTGAACAAAACAATAAACAAAAAACAAATAGGTAAACAGCAATAAATGACAACCACTCAAATAAAGGCTCTTGACTTGGGACATGCAAATATTGAATGTGGCAGGGTTAAATTCAGTTTGTTACACATTCTGAAATGCATCCTTTAAATAAAAAATTTAAAAAAGCCACCACATGTTATTTTATAATTTAATTCACTCAAATTCTTTAATTTCTTTAACTTTAAAAATATTTGTTAGTAAAAAAATACCCCCTCCTTATTACAGACAGTATCTGCCACTGAATATAATACACAACTTGAGAAGATAGGGGTGATAGTGAAATCCAAGAACTTCTTAGTGTTCCAAGGTACAGTTGAAAGTATTGCTATGAAGAATGCTAAAGAAAGAACACAGATGTTTGAAGAAATAAGCAGGTAAAATTTAACATACTTCTTGCTAACAAAAACTGTGTATATCTATGTAACAATGTCATATGCATCATCAGTCTACAGGACTAAACCCAATACTAACCACCCAAACCAGTCTGAAATGACAGACAAGTAAAATTGTCCTGAAAAGATTTATGAAAGACAGATTTCAAAGATTTTATTATGAATTATGCATTCTATATCATAAGATAATTTACCAAGACTTATCTTACCGGAAGTTTAATCTAAGCTTACTTGAAAGAAAAAAAATACTCTTTTTGCAAGCTAGAAGTCGAGAAGTATTATTTGACTCATAATGTTGATTTGTCTTCTAAAATTTGTACATGCGCATGAAAATTATTTTGTCGTTTTTTCTTCTTTTTTTAGCTCACCTGGCCCGAAGGTCCAAGTGAGCTTTTCTCATCACTTGGCGTCCGTCGTCCCGCGTCGGCGTAAACTTTTTACATTTTGAACTTCTCCTAGAGAACCACTGAATGGAATGAAACCAAACATGGCATGAATGTTCCTTATGAGGTGCTGACCAAGTGTTGTTACTTTGTAGCGGATCCATCATCCAAGATGGCCGCCAGCGGGGGACTTAGTTTAACATAGGACCCTATGGGAAATACATACAAATGTCTTCTTTTAGAGAACCACTGAATGGAATGAAACCAAACATGGCATGAATGTTTCTTATGAGGTGCTGACCGAGTGTTATTACTTTGAAGTTGATCCATAATCCAAGATGGCTGCCAGCGGGGGACATAGTTTAATATGGGACCCTATGAGAAATACATACAAATGTCTTCTTTTGGAGAACCACTAAATGGAATGAAACCAAACATGGCATGAATGTTCCTTATGAGGTGTTGACCAAGTGTTGTTACTTTGAAGTCGATCCATAATCCAAGATGGCCGCCAGCGGGGGACTTTGTTTAACATGGGACCCTATGGGAAATACATACAAACGTCATCTTTTAGAGAACCACTGAATGGAATGAAACCAAACATGGCAAGAATGTTCCTTATGAGGTGCTGACCAAATGTTGTTACTTTGAAGCTGATCCATCATCCAAGATGGCAGCCAGCAGGGGACTTAGTTTAACATAGGACCCTACGGGAAATACATACAAATGTCTTCTTTTAGAGAACCACTGAATGCAATGAAACCAAACATGGCATGAATGTTCCTTATGAGGTGCTGACCAAGTGTTGTTACTATGAAGCCGATCCATAATCTAAGATGGCCGCCAGCGGAGGACTTAGTTTAACATAGGACCCTATGAGAAATACGTACAAATGTTTTCTTTTAGAGAACCATTGAATGGAATGAAACCAAACATGGAATGCATGTTTCTTTTGAGGTGCTGACCAAGTGTTGTTACTTTGAAGCTGATCCTTCATCCATGATGGCTGCCAGATGGGGACAATGTTTAACAAAGGACCCTATGGACAATACATACAAATGTCTTCTTTTAGAGAACCACATACTGAATGGATTGAAACCAAACATTGCATGAATGTTCCTTATGAGGTGCTGACTAAGTTTTGTTACTTTGAAGCTGATCCTTCATCCATGATGGCCGCCAATGGGGGGACTTCCTTTAACATAAGAACCTATGGGAAATACATACAAATGCTTCTTCTAGAGGTGCACTGAATGGAATGAAACCAAAACATGGCATAAATGTTTCTTATGAGGTGCTGATTAAGTGTTGCTACTTTGTTGCCGATTTACTGTTCAAGATGGCCACCAGGATTTTTTATTAAATTACAGGACCAATATTAAACCAAATTTGGCCTCACTCATTATAAGGGTATCTGTTATGATTTTAATCTATTTTTACATGATTTCCAAAACCAAAGTAGAATCAGGTGAGCGACACAGGCTCTTGAGAGCCTCTAGTTTCTCACTTTTTTGGGAAGAGGTTAAACTAGTATCTCAAATTCTGCAAGGAACACAAGTAAATTAGATAAATTTATGATGGGGAATATTATTTCTATTGTAACTTTATTTAAATCTATTATTGTTACCAGGTCTGGTGAGTTGAAAGAAGAGTATGATAAGGCCAAGGCAGAAATGTTAAAAGCTGAAGAAGATACTCAGTTTACTTACCACAAAAAGAAGGGTATTGCAGCTGAAAGGAAAGAAGCTAAAATGGAAAAAGATGAAGCTGAAAGATTCCAAAAGTTACAAGAACAAATGGTTGGTTTTGAAACAGGCATTTTATTACAAAAAATATACTAGAACAAGAAGGCAAACTTTAAAACCATTAGTGTTGTTCTGATGATAGGAATAAGTCGGAAATCAGTTGGTTGGGCTTGGCGATGTCGATAACTGATTGTCATTATAGTTTCCGGACCTTTAGCATATCAACTTCCAGTCCGTTTCCGGTTTGCATTTTACATGCGCAGTCAAACAAATTGTAAAGAAAAATATCAGTAGATGACAATAACAATGTCAAACATCCTATAATCAAAGACATAAGCAATTTCTTTCTCTATAAACATGGTAAAAGCATTAACTTTACAGATTGATCATATTTTATTTAAAATAAATAACTTTTTATGAAATACTTTCTTTCAATTCCGGTAGTTGTTACTCGAGACAGAGACATTTATATATATAAATGTCTGCTCGAGAGCGTACATCAGATCATTCTGATTTTCAACAAAATAAATTTGTTGCTACATTAGAACGTGGTGCAAATTGCCTTTTACTAATGTTTCGTCCATTTGTTGCGTAAAAAACTTCATAATTCTTTCCAAATTGCTTGTCAAACTGTTTATTTTTGTAAATTTTCCTGGTTTGTCTGCCATTGAAATATATACGAATCACAGATCGGATACAGACCAACTATGAAAGAATTCCGCATTCTTACGATTATAAGTACAGACGCTCGAATGACACAGCTGACAGAAGAACAATGATCACAAAAGTGAAAAATATGCATACCACACGAATGAACAGACTTTGGTTTGATCCCCTTAGTTAAATGTATATATTTCAATGCAAATAAATTGTTTTATTTATTGATTAATTTTAAATTGCTTAAAGTTAAGTACTTTATATATCTTTTTTTAATGAGAAGCATTCAAATTTGGTACAGCTATGTATTTAAAATTATAATGTGAATGATACCATTGAAATTAAGAAATTTTAGTGTTATTGTTGGTAATAAATGTTGTAATTTTAAAACAAAATAAGTTCAATCTGAATCTGGATTCTGATTGATTCACTGTTTTAATTGCTAAATAAAATATGAAAAGGAAACAAAAGATCAAATATGAACATATAAAACTCTGCAATGATTGGAATATACGTATTAAATATGTACAATGTGACCCAATGCATGATTTCATTTCAAAAAAGGGCAAGGTATAATGATGCGATTATAACCGATAGTTGGTTGGTTGCTGTCAACCGATAGTAATAGATAATCGGTTGGTAATTTCAAACGATAATCCAACACTAAAAACCATATTCTTTGAAAAATATTGTAATTTAACATATGATTTCAGAAGATTGAAATTATATACAAATACAGAAACATTAAGAATTACAACATGTTTTATTTTGTGAGCATAATTTTAAGAGCATCGTCGTGGAGATCTTAGATTTTTTTATATCTCCTTGTTTAGAATTTTGCCTTCATTTGAGATGTCTTTCTTAGCCCTCAAGACCATTTCATTCCCCCTTTTTAAAGTACCAGTTTCCAAATAGGGAGATTATATAGTGATGAACCTGTCTGTCCGCCTATTACAATATAGGTTTCCAGATGAATTTGAAGTATTACTTTACCAAATCGTTTGAAATTTGAACAGATTGTCATGGACCATAAAATACAGGTCAAGTTCAATTTTGATGGTTTTGACATAAGGTTAAAGAGTTGTGCAACTTTGTAACCATTAAAAAAATATGGTTTACAGAATTTGAACACCATGTCATGGAACATAGAAATACGAATGAGTTACAAGTTCGATGGTTTGGACATAAACCTTCATGAGTTATTCCCTAAGTTACCTTAAAATTTGAATTTTTCTATGGTTTTCGACTGATAAAGCACCTTAGACAAAATCTTTTTTGAATTTTAACAGTATAACATGAACCATAAGAATACGGGTAAAGTTAGATTTTCACTGTTTTGGCCTGTACTGTTTGAGAGTAATGGCCCTTAATTATCTTAAAAATAAAAGTTTTTTTTTTGTTTCCCAATGAAAACTTTAAGTATCACTTGACAGAATCTTTTTAGATTTTAAAATTGACCTTGACTATTAAAAAGATTTTGACAGTAGACTTTACTGTTAAAGAATTTTTCTGCAGACATGAGTATCTGTGATCACTTGTCCATCTAATTCAAGTTATGTTAAGTAAAATGTTTTGGGCCATGTAAGCTTTCAGAGACATTCATTTCTTAGTTGTTCAGCTGACATATTTCTACAACTTTTTACAGTTATTGGTATCTTACTTGTTATGTAATTTTGTATTTCAGGATGATAAGCAGTTGGAACTTCAGTTGTTTAAATTATTTTACAATGAAAGAGACATAGATGAGTTGGCTGATGAAATAAACAGGAAAAATACTTTGCTAGAAAAAGAAACAAGGAGAAGAGACAAAATAGATGATGAAATTAAGGAGAAAAAGAAGGAACAAGGCAGAATGAGTAGAGATCTGACCAAAGTTGAACAGTCTATAAGAGAATCTGTTAGTATATGTAGTTTTAATGTCAAAGTAATATATTCATTAGATTGGGTATAGAATAAAGTCACAGAGTTAATGTCACCAAATAGTACAGCCACATCCTGTTGGCTGATAGTTTAAAATTTGACAATACTCATTGTACAAGGAAAATTTTCTTCAAACTTTTCTGGACTTTTATACAAAGGAATGATTTATATTTGGTCTGCAGCTTGATTATGTTGAGTTGTAGAATGTAATCAATTTTTACATCTGCAGTGCAGGAACTTCCTGTTTGCCAATAGTTTGAAAATTACAACTCATTGTAATCTTGTAAGAATGGAGATATGGGTATGAAATTGAAATTTACACTGAAAAGTTGGTGAGGGGTTCTTATAAGAGCAAAGGAGTATGTTCGTTAAGGGCCATATTTGGCCCAGGTTATTAAGTTCAATGTTTCAAGATAAAGAATGTTTTAAGTTGATGTAAAGACATGGTAGAAAGTTAAGTAATACCTTTTTTGTCCCAAGTTTCATTGTAAAGCGTTGATTTTTACATCCCAAATAGGTAAAAAATAGAGATTTTTGCAAAATTTGACAAAATCTTACAGATTTCAACCAAATTAAGGTCTAGGAAACATGGAGAGCAGGCGTCGACAAACTAAATATTCAAGTCAGATATGTAAAATGTTATAATAAACATTATATTAAAAGATATTTTTTGTTGACGCATGCGCTCAATGGTTCCTGTCCCAAAAATTAACTGAAATTTACTCGTTTTCATTGAATTTGTGGAAAATCAAAATAAGCGCTATTTGTGACGTCATAAATTGAACCCAAGTACGTAAATTTTCAACAAAAAGACACATTTTCTATCTAGTCATTGTTTTAGCTACGGTTCATTGTGATATTGGTCAATAAATCCTAATTTGAAATGGTAGCTAGAAATAAGGGCCATTTTAGGGCCTTATCGAACCTTCTCCTTTTACTTTTATAATCAAATTTCAAGGGTTGATGTTGATAAGAAGAACATCTAATGCCTTCCTCTTTCTCAGTACATAAGAACTTATTATTTCTATATACCTGTTTGTTATCTGTGAACAATTTTATATTGTAGGAAGTTGAACTGAATAAGAAACGTCCTTTATACATAAAAGCAAAAGAAAAGACTTCCCACATGATAAAAAAAGTTGAAGCCGACAAGTAAGTTTTACATTTTATATATTTGTTTTTTATATTAATGACAATCATGTTCATATTGTTCATATGTTACCTTTATTATGTAATCTGTGACTTAAATCCTTGAACAAAAACATCATGAAACAACTTGTGGTCCTGAGTTTATCAGGTGATTTAGTATAACAGTTGATCATAATGTTAGAGAAACCACATACCATTAATTCAGAAATTTTAGATATATCTTTATTATTGAGAAAATTGCAACTGGATAGGTTCAACAAAAAATAATAACTCACATTTTTATTATATCACTATTTATATGCAGCCTTTTCTGAAATAATTAAACTTACATTTTTGTCCTCTTTTCACCAATTGCAATGATAAATGCATGCAAAAATTTCTGAATATACATGTACAGTGTAAAGTGATTCCGAATTTTTACTATTTAATGTATTAAAGCCAAATTTCTCAATTATTTGACTTGTTGTATTACAGCAATTATAGATATGAAGGTAGCTTTATTACCGTAACCAAAGGTTACTTGTTAATGGCTAAGATTTTGTTTTTCAGAAAATCCCTGAAACAAGCAAAGAAAACACATGATAACCATGAAATGGAGGTCAGTTTGATTTATTTTATTGATGTATACTTACAGTAACCTTACACATTTGAAATCTTGAGTGAGATTTATTCCTTAAATAAAGGACATAAAATTGTTCCTAAAATGTAATGTTTGCAATTGGAAATGCTTTGAATAAATTGTTTTATCAGGGCTCACGCTACCATGTGACTGGGGCGACAAAGTCGCTTTCCCGGCCGTCACTTGGCTTTGCCCGAATGTCAGTAGCGAAATCTAGTCGCCCTGTTGTGTTACGATACTCACTTTCAGTCGCTTTCGTCATCGGCAATATTCAATTTTTACCAAGTCGATGAAATAGCAATTTTTCAGTAAAAAGTAAAGAAATTTAAAGACATAAACGATTTATTTTCTTCAGAAAAGAGGTTAAAGCATTGATTTTAAAGTTGGTTGCATGTTATTTCATAAAAACAATTTTTTATCACTTCCGGTACTTGTTAGAGAGTGTACATCAAATCATTCTAATTTTCGGCAAAATAAGTTTGTTACTTTATTAGAACGTGATGAAATTTGCCTGAAGTAAATTTGTTATCCATCTATTGCATTAAAAACGTCATATTCCTTTCCAAATAGCGTGTCAAACATCGTTTATTTTTGTAAATTTTTCTTCGTCCGCCATTGAATTATTTGTACTAAACTACTGATCGGAACCGGACCAGCTATGACCGAAATCTGGATTCTTACGATAATGACTACTGAAGAATGAATGGCACAGCTGACAGAGGAATATTGATCCCAAAAGGAAAAATTACACATTCCATGCGCATTAACATACTTTTGGTTAGATCTACTTGATTAATGTATATATTTCCATGTATATATGAATTGTTTCAATTTATTAATTAAAATTGCTCAACTCTGGGACTACTATACTATGTCCAAGCTTAACTGTGTTAAATTTATATATCTTTTAAATGAAAATTTTAACCACTGAATTTCACCAACATAACAGAGTACATTTTAAATTGAAATAACAACTTTCTTTTCCTTTTTGATATAAAAAAAATCTTTTTTATTATTGCTAGATATTAAACTGTTTTTTTTCTGACAAGAGGACTAATATGATTGTGCAACTAGATATGATAAAATTAAACAACTTTGAATTTGAACTGTAACTTTTATTGTACTCCCAGGTACAAATTGAACAATATAAAAAAATAAGATACATATGGCCCTTTGTATTATAGTAAAACCAAACATTGTAGCACCGCAAGCAAACGAGCACTTCACTTTCAAATCTCACCACTTCTCCCCCTCAGTTTCAAAAAGAGAAGTCACTTCTCCCTATGATTCTGAAGTAGTGTGAGCCCTGTTTTATAATTCTATAGTTCATAAGCATCAACATACTTTTTCTTAACATTTTTTGGGTAAAGATTGCATGAAATGCAATCAAAACCCTATGGTACTGACTTGATATCTAAATCTTCCAAGGTTTTTCACTACTTTTGAGATACACAAAATATAGTGCATTGATCATAACATTCTAAACATCCTATCCATGAACATTTCCAGAAATTTTTCAATAAAATATATGCTCAGATATTGAAGTTACAAAATAATGTTATACTTGTCTAGAAAATTGCATCAGTTGTGCAAGGTGCAGGAATCTAATATCTGTTCTAAAAATATCAATGATGTCGTTGTTGAAGTAATCTTTAAAATTGGAGTTTATCTTCCTTTGTCCATAATTGTAGTACGTCCAATGCTTTATACAATGCAATGTTTAATTTTACTTCCCACTGATAAATAAAAGCAATCTTTACCCTTCAGTGCTTACAAGCACTTTGATTAGTGGTTGCATGTGAAAGGATTAACATTAGCATGAGGACCTTACATGTTTTAGAAAATTTTATTTTTATAACACTAAGAAAATCTCGGGCTTTTTCCATTCAAATAATTGATCTTTTAAATACATGCAGATAAGAGAACTGGAAAAAGAATTGGAAGAAGTTGACAAAAAAAGGCAGGAGTTTGAAGAAAGAATAGAAGAAGAGTCTCAGTCCCAAGGAAGAGATTTAAATCTAGAAGAATCTCAGGTATAATAAAATGTGTTGATCACCCTGTGATCATTTTCTAAATGTCTTGCTGACAAGAATAAAATGTTTTGATCAACTTGTGATCATTTTCTATATGTCTTGTTGAATACTAAGTTATCACTAAATTTACTGCATACAAAGACACACTATGGAACAATAAATAAACAAGGAACTATATATACATTATTTTCTTATGGACATTTAATAAATAAGATAACAGGAATTTTAAAAAAAATATCAGGACCATACATCAGACTTCACCAACAACCAAATCATCTGAGAAAATAGTGATGCTAAACATGTATTTATAAGGTGTCAAATTATAAGGGCAGTTTTAAAGAAAGAGAAATCTCTTCTTTTTAATCATACTAGAAATGTATCAACTCTTAAATGTTACAAGTTATGTATTGCATCAATTTGTCTGTAAGTAATGATTTCAGTACAACTTATTTCAAAATATTCCTTCATATTTGCAATGTTAAACTCCGCTCAATTTGACAGGTACAAGAATATCATAGATTAAAGGAAGAGGCTGGAAAGAGAGCTGCTAGATATATGCAGGAAATGGATACTATCAGTCGAGAACAAAAATCTGACCAGGACAGATATGATAATGAAATGAGGAAGAAAAATGAAATGGGTGCTAAAATCAAACAGAAAGAAAGTGAAATGGAAGAAAATAGAAAAAGAGTGGAAAAGTTGAATGAATACATAAGGTAAACTTTCATATAAGAATATAATTGGAAAACAAAAATCTGATGAGGACAATTAGAGAGAAAAAATGAAATATGGGCTAAAATGAAAGAAAAAATGTGAAAGATACAGGAATATTTATGATTATATTTTTGAAGTATTTTTGGGTAAAGATTGCATGAAATGCAATCAAAACCCTGTGGTACTGACTTGATATCTATATCTTTCAAGGTTGATCGCTACCTTTGATAGTTTAAACAAAATAGTACAGTGAAGTGATCATTATTTAGATCCTATCCAGTCAATGTCATGCAATTTATTGATGATATGTTATACTAAGTTATTTAAGTTACAATATGATGTGTATTTGAATTACCATACTTTTCAAGTAATTTTTTTTTTTCATGCAAATTACAAAAGTTATGCATGATATATGAATCTGTTATAAAAATATATGAACAAAGGAAGATAACTCCAACTCAAATATTTAACTTGCTTAGCAAAATACAATTCAATGTTTTATTTAAAAATTCACAAAATTGCAAAATGAAAGCAATCTTTACCCTTCAGTGCTCACAAGCACTTTGATTATAATATCTCTTTCTAAAAGAAAATATTGCATGCATTTCATAAAACTGCAAACACGCATGATTTGATTATAGAGTAAATAATTCAAGCTTTAAAAATTGTTGTTGCCTTCATTCTTCAATTTTGATGAAGGTTTCCACTCATCAAAGCTCTGATGAGTTTGATAATAAAATAAATTGAAGTGGTAAAAATTATTGTCGTGTACAGAGACCTGTAAAAATATCTCATATAAACTCTTGGTGGGGGATCGCACCTTTATTTTTTTTATCAGATCCTTATAAAATCTAGGATGAGGTCAATAATTGATTTTTTTTTTTTTTATGTAGGGTGACTTGTAAAAATATCCAATGTTAATTAAGTGGGGTGGGGGGGGGGGGGGGGTGATTGGGTGTGTGAACTTACATACTTAAAGTTCTTTCTGTGCTTTAGAGCCTATTTATAGTTTGCTATTTTCTGGAAAAGTCCTAAATACTATTCATCTTAAGCAACAGTTTGAAAGTATCTAAAGTAGAAATTTAAAAAAAAAAGACTTGATTATTTGTTTCTTTCAGAACAAGTAATCAGACAGTAGCTGAACAAAAAAAGATAGAAGAAGAACTTACTGCTCAAGTAGAACAAGCTAACTCAAGAATTTCAGAGATTAATGTAGATCTAGAATCCATCATGGATCAGTTAGGGGAGGCCAAAGTTGACAAACATGAAAGTGCAAGAGCTATGAAGAAAAAAGAACTATTAGATAACCTGAAAGGTCTATTTAGTGGAGTTGTAAGTTAAATTGCGGGTTAAATTTGAGAAAAAATAATCAGACCTTAATACTTTCTGTTTATGTTGAAAGACTCGTATAATCCAGAAACAGTCACAAAAACCATGTGTATAGTTTAAACAGATATGCCATTCAATTAAAAAAATTTAAGCATTTATTTTGTCAAATTAATACCATTACATCAACTCAAATTTCTCTGAACTAGTTTTGAAATTCCATTTTACACTGGTTGATCTTTTGTACACACAATGTATTACAGAATAGCCAAACATCTAAAATTTAATACTTTAAACAGCATGGTAGACTGATAGACCAGTGTGAACCCAGTCATAAAAGGTACCAGATTGCTATCACTAAAGTTTTGGGTAAATACATGGATGCTATTGTGTGTGATACAGAGAAGACAGCTAAAGATTGTATCCAATACATGAAAGAACAAAGGATTGATCCAGAGACATTCTTACCACTTGACTATCTTGATGTACGATCTGTTAATGAAAAACTAAGGTAAATAATCTAAACTAATTTTTGGAGGTAGTTGCTTCAGGTTGTAAGCCAAATTTTATGTGTTTCACTTTATTTAAAATGTTATTTACACCTTAGCACATCAATATTTTGTATTCATAAGCGCAGAGTAATTCTTTCATGCCATGATCTTTGCTTGTTTTAACATAGGTAGTCATTGTATTTGTTAGTATCGTGATACTGAGTTGTAAAATGGTGACAAATATAATGCCTACCCAGGTAAAAATGAGCATGGAGGCATGATAGAATTATTTCAATTCTAAATGGAAAATTGAGAACTTTTGAACTTCAAAGCAGGCTTATTATTAACAATTTTTTTATGCCCATGCCATTGCGGAGGGGGCATTAAGTGTTACCCTTGTCCGTCTGTCTGTATGTGCACTAAATTAGTTTCCATTTTCTAATTTTAGTTTGCCTCAACCAAATGTTATGAAACTTATACACATTGCTTATTACCACAAAATACAGCTCAAGTTTGAATTTGGATTGTGTCACTTTTACTGTTCTTAAGTTATGCTCCTTTATAATGTTATATGCAAAGGGGGCATGATCTGTGTCCATGGGGATAAATTCTCTTTTAATTTAATAAAGCAAAAACGTTACCGTCTTTAGGTGTGTATAGTGCACATTTGTGTATTGTGCGCATCCCCTTTATGGTCCAAGAAACTTGAGAAAAAAAGTTTCTTGTTCGTATAATACTCATAGACATTTTCGGAAAAGTCACAGCTCCAAAATCGGCAAACAGGAAGTCTACAGGTAAACTGGAAGTTTTTTAAATGGACACCAATGTCGGAGAATTCCGTACGGAATACGTAATTAATACGAAATTGCAAATATTCTGACAAATGAATAAGAATTTTATTTTAAAATGTAAGTAGATTGAGATAAATCTTCATTTAAGTTTGTTTTTTAAAACCAAATTTAATAAATTGTTTGAGTATCAAAGACAAGATTAAATATCCTAATTAATGTTCTGATTGAAACAATAACAATTATGAACCAGTCAAATAATTATCATTAACATCTATTTCTTAATCTTTAATGATTAATAAACATATGTAAGCTGAAATAAATTGTTAAAATCTCATTATTTCTATTTTTTGTTTGTTGATTCTAGCTGTTAATCCGGATTATCACACCTCAATCAATGGTTCTAATCGATGTCAAAACAAATCAATGACAGGTTCACCTTGTTCCTAATTAAATTCGTTCAGGTTACAATTATGGGATTATTATGTTTTCAATCATAATTTCTTGAAAGGTTTTAAACAGTTGTTTAAAAGTTACAAAGTAGAAACGTATTTATAAAAAAAAACTTCTCATAGACTAAATCATCACTTTACAATATTAAGTCACATGACTGGTGATCACCTGATACATTAGAAAAAATGGCGGTTTATCTTTTCAAAACGAGCGTGGTTTATTCAATTTTCATACACTTATCTTCTACTCTCCATGATGAACATATACAGAAACAGTAAGTTATGACAACAAGAAACACAGAGGCTAATTTAACCGACAACAAAAGCTTTATTGTGTCTTTATTAAGACATGGTAAACTTCCGGATTGCAAACAGATAGACAAATTTACAAGATAAACGTAACTACAGAGATATAAAATGTATTTTATTTGAATAAAACATGACATATCAAGTACAATAAGATACATATTACAAATATTACATGTAAAATATAATAACAATCAAGGTTTTAGCAAAAAATTCCGTACTCTTCACTTCACCTGGTATTTTCTTTGTCTGAGTTTGGACCTGAAAAAAGTCTAAAAAATGTTTGTAGGCATGTATAATGCGCACCCCTCTTACAAGAAACACGACCCAGGGTATAAATGTGCGCCCTATATACTCTGCTTGACGATATAGAAAACAAACTGTTTCACGATTAAAAAATGAACAGTTAAATGTAAATTTACTTTTAAAATGATTTTATTTTATTTCCTTGTTGGCAACACCAACACAAATGTCCGTTTTGATCTCCAGTGTTGTATATTTTAAAACTGACGTTGCAATTTTAATTGCGATGTCAATCATGTGCACTCAATGTTCTATTGGATTCAGAACATGGCTTTGTTTACAAAGCAAAAGAACATAATATTAGAATTTAAAATGTTTGATTTCACTTTGTAAAATCATTCCACTGCAAAACAAGATTTCACAAGATAATGGAAAATATTAGTGAATAAGGATATTAATTTATTTGAAACACATTATAAGTGAAATAGAGAATCCAACTTATTAAATAGAATTGACTTTACTTGTACTCTGTTAAAATGAAGAAGAAAAAATGTTTCTTTTACAGAGAAATTCAACACATTAATACAAAAATGTAATCAGAGAAAATTGTATGAAAGCCATTGTATGTAGTATTTTTATGAACTGACAAATTTAAAGCATCATACATTTGCAGGGAAATTCGAGAACCAAAGAATGTGAAGTTAGTGGTAGATGTTATAAGATACAATCCACCATCCATCAAAAAAGCTTTACTGTTTGCTTGTGGTAATGCTTTAGTATGTGAAACTGTTGAAGATGCTAGACATGTGGCATTTGGTACTCATGAGAGGCACAAGGTAAATATAGCCAGATAATGTATTAGGATAAATAACTACACAACAGAAAAATAATAATGGCATGTAAGAAAAACTGAACTCCAAGGAAAATTAAAAATAGGGGAAGTCCATAAGACCTGACAAAATAAAAAGCCTGACTATATCACCCAACAGAACAAATGAGAAACAACTCATATTCTTGACATGCTACAGGCATTTATGTTTAGATACCCAACTATGTATATATACGAGAATGCAAAGAAAAATCTTGTTGAGTATTTAAAATTAGCCAGACTAGTAAAGTTTAAATCATAATAATACTGTCAACATAAGACTTGCACATTCTACATTTTCTCATACAAATAATAACACTAGTATGAATATTTTGATGAAAGATACTTAAATCGCATTCATTTATTCAGCTTTTATAATAGATTAATTCTATTGTAAATTATTAAAATTGAATGTAAACTTCATTTGATTTATAATCTGTATTTTAATGAATATGAAGTGGTTTAAATTAATTCATTTTCCCCTTCACCAGATTGTTTATCTTTATTATAAATCTGCATTTATAATTATCTAATTTCACATGATCTTTAAAAAAAGATGTATGTTATCCCAACCTTTTTTTTCAGACTGTTGCTTTAGATGGTACCTTATTCCAGAAATCTGGTGTAATCTCAGGTGGTGCTAGGTAGGTCTTAATTATTTGTTATATTTAAAGATATATATTTTCTCTTTTTTTTTGTCTGTTTAAACGATTCCTATAAAAATTGAATATTATAAAACTCTAAATGTGTCAGGACAACATAAATGCTGCTGATTTCCAATGTTAATTTAGAGAAAGTATGTCATTAAGAAAGTAATAAGAACTATAATAAGAATAATATCTGTAACTCACCATTATACACTATTGTACAAAAATCACCTCAATATCTACAGACATACTGTTTTATAAGAACAGATAGCTGTTACTTTTCAAAAGGGCAATATGATAGACATGGGTAACACTATGTTCAGGCCACTGAGTGGAAGGGGCATTAAAACAAAAAAGATCACAAAAGATTATATGTTAATTGTTCTCAACTCATTTCAGTTACTATCATTAATTATTTATATTGATTATTTCATAGTTTAAGAAGGTGGTAAAAATTGCTGTAGTTAATATATGATTTTACAATGAACAAATACTTTATTTTTCATATTTAAAAATTAATAGCATAAGTAGAATATTTTGTACATTGCAGTGATTTGAAGGCAAAAGCCAGACGATGGGATGAGAAACAATTAGGGCAGCTAAAAATAAGAAAAGAAAAAATAACTGATGAATTAAAAGAACACTTGAAAATGAAGCGGAAAGAATCAGAACTTAGCACATACAGATCTCAGATTAAAGGCTTAGAAACACGTCTAAAATACTCAATTACTGACAGAGATAATACAGTATGTATGCTTTATCTGTTAAGAAAAGTATTCTGTTAGTTAGATTCATAGACTCTTGCCGGTTTTAGTTTGCCTCACACAATTAAATTGTTACTGGCCTCTTTGACTGAAAAAAAAAAATAATTGCAATACATTCACAAAAAAGCTATTATTACAAAAGAAATGGAAGTTTTCCACAGAATCATCTGTAATTTACCTGTCGATTTAAACTTTTGTTAGATCTATTGTCCAATTGAATAAATACAACAGCTATTGTTCTCTGTGGAGTTTATTCACTGGGACCTTAAAATTTCTTCTAAGAGAAATCCATCACTCTATGATTAATTTACCTGAGAAAAAAATTATCTTCTAAGTGGATGAAAATACATGTATTCACTCACAAAACTGCATGTGATGTTGTATTTATTCAATATCAAAAATATACTTTCAATCTGTTCAATATAAACATTGATTTAAACATTAAATGTTGATTTCTGACAAAATTTTAAGCATTGTTCCTTTTGAAATTTTGTTTTTTGTTTTTTTTGTGTTTGACATATAAAAACTGGAAAATGAACATGTTTAAATTAAGGCCTTCCTAAATTTATTCTATGAGTAAACAAACACAAAAAACTCTAATTTCATTAGGAACAATGCTGAAAATTTTGTCAGAAATCAACTTTTAATGTTTAAATCAATGTTTATAATGAACCTGTCTAACCGGTCAGCACTCACAGTATTTTTGAACATTATCGTCATTTCAACTTTTAATAACGGTAATTTAATGTTTTTTAACTACCAAAAATCTTCATGATAAAAAGTAAATGTCAATATCGAAGTCAAAATGAAAATCGAACCCGTTTGCAACCGAGATCACTCAATAGAAGGTGAATTTTGAATTCACATAATTCCATTCTTTTCAGTTTCCATTGAATACAGTATCAGCAACTTATTTTTCGAAGAATATTAACATATTTTGAATTCTTCAAATTTACAGCGCTGGGATCTGTCATTTTTTTATTTCACTGCTTGCAAGTACGATAACTCTACTGATTGAAAATACTAAAACAATTTTACCCGATCCCCGTCATGGTCGATGTTGTAATCAGAATTTTTTGGAACCTCGTTTCAAAGGTCACCTCTCTTGAGCGGTCACTTTTTAGCTCATCTGGCCCTTTTCTCATCACTTGGCATACGGCATTGTTGTAAACTTTTACAAAAATGTGTGTTTTAATCTTGAAAACTTAAAATAATAGATGGGTTGAAAACAGTTAAAATCATTAGAAAGATGAGATTTTGGTCCACACAGTTTCCTTTATAAAGTATTAATTTTTGCATTGTTTCATGCATCATTTATAAACAAAAATATCAGGTGAGCGACACAGGCTTGGAGCCTCTAGTTATAACTTAACAAGAGTGACTGCTTAATACAGGTTTGGCTGTAGTTCACTGAGACAAGTAACTGTTAAAAAACTTCAAGAAAATTTAGACAATTCACAATGTATACAGTTGATGGAGGGTAAGTATAGGGTGTGGTTTGCCTGGAGCAAATTGCCTTTCCTGCTTTTAATGCTCAGGAAGAATATATTTGAGAATTAAAATATTACCTCTGCACTTATCATATATTCAGTACAATTACTGTTTTATTTTTACTGTGATTACTGTAAATTCAGAAATTATTGCGTGCATTTATTATTGCGATTTTGTCATTTTAGACTAAAATGCGATTATTATTTTTGCGATACATAGAACAATTCCGCTTCATTCATATAAAAAAAAAAATCCAAAATGCGAATTTAAATTATTGCGATTACAACAGGGCTTCCAAAAAATATTTGAGCCAGCCGGACATTTTTTTGTTGTCTCATCCCGATTTTAATCCCTTAAGACTTAGTAACAAAAGGCAACCATAGTAATCAGTTGGGCATCATATAAATTATGATTGACAAAAAAACGGTATTTGATTGATTTTTTAATATAAATTCGATGTTCTGGTGTTAACTTAAATTGACAGTGCACCATTCGAAGTGTGCAATATCAGCGTACTAATATCTGCCTAAGACTGTTTATTTGTGCAAATTATGCTGTCAGTAACTTCACTTTCGTTTTTGAAAAGTTCATTTTCCTCATACCGGATGTTGACTTGACAATGGTAAAACACGGACCATAGACGGATACGTAAAATCTGTGTACGTTTACAAAGCACAATTGAGTTTAAGTAGCTCTTTCCGCGTTATTTCTACAGGAAAATACTCGAAATGAATGTTAGATGAAGGTATCAATGATATTTCAAGCATTTTTGAAAAATCGCTTGCATAATTAAATCACGCACCTGCGCACATGCGCACGAGTGTTCTTATTTAAACAATGTGGTTCTGACGGTTTTTCATTTAAAACCTTATTTACTACCTTTTAAATTCTCATCAAATAATATTTATATACGTTTTCTGTTAATCTGAATCTTGTTGACTAAATTAATGAGATGCAAACCGCTGAAATTTAATAAATAACTTTTAATAGACCGATGATCACCGATCAATGTCCGGTTCAAAATACTTTACCTGTCACCTGAACAGGTAAAATCAGCTGTCAGAGAACTAATTAACCTTGATTGTAATTAGAGGGTATTACAGTAGGGTTTGTTTTGATAGTAATTATTCATCATGTCACTTTTATGACGGGAAATGTGTGGCTGTTTAAGGATCAGGATCAGGCGAAAGGTCAGGTAAAAAACTGAAAAGATCGCATGAACTTTACAAATTTTTTCAACTATGTTATTAAAATGTCTGTTTCAGCCTCGACACAACAAGTCATTTATGAAATTTATCAGACTTGTCCGGAAAATACGACCGTTTTGAAAGCCCTGGATTACAACCCTGTTGCATTTTTCGCAATAATAAAAACATCGCAATAATTTCTGAATTTACAGTACTTTATACTGTGAATAATATTACCTACTAAAAAGTTACTTTAATAAAATACCAATATATTATTAAACATATACAATTTCAAACTAGACCTGACATGCTTTGAATAAGAAAACCATGATTTGATGATAATTATTGTATGACCTTGGATTTGGCTTTACATTCTAGTTGTTTTTCATGAAAATTGTTTTTTTTCCAGATGAACAAGAATGTATCAGCCATAGAAAGAGATGTAGTCCAGTATAATGAAATGTTAAAACAGTTTGCTGTAAGTTCAAAATGAAAAAGTAGTGATAGAGTTCATTAATTCATGGTACACAATTTCTAAACAAACAGAAGGAAAGGAAAAGCACTTTATTGCTGTTATTTATTTCAAAGACACAGTGACGTCTTTTACAAAGTAACAGCTCACACCTCTCTGCGTATTTAATGTGGCCCTATCAATAGTTTGAGTGGAAATTTCTGCTCATTATGGATGACCTTAAATATGTGTATTAAAGACAGATGAATGGTAATATTAACAAATTTAATACTTCAAACAGTCAAAGAAATCTAACAATTATATTGATATTTTTTACATTAATTTGAAGTATTATGAAATATTGTAAATTCAGAAATTATTGAGTGCATTTGGTACATTTGGTTTCATCTATGATGAGAAACAATCTTAGATTGATTGATATATATATATGTGTGTATTTCAGCCAAGAATGGCAGAACTGGAAAGAAAAATGAAAGAACGAGGGGATGCTATGAAAATTATAAAAGATAAAATGAACAGAGTGGAGGATGAAGTATTTTCTGAATTTTGTTCTCAAATTGGAGTTGAAAATATACGGTGAGTGGTAGTAATATATATTTATGTAAATGTAGGACTTTCAATCCCCAGCTTTGTTCTGTAATTGATTACATTCGTGTATTACATGTATGTCAAGCGGTATTGTGAATTACATGAATGTCGTGAGGTATTGGTATATCAAGGTAGAAAAGAGAGATTATATAGTTCATTACTTAAAATTTATCAGAATTATATCCTAGTTTTATAAATCAAATTTTTGTTCCATCATGGGGCTAGTACTAGTTTGTGACTTGGAGAAGTACCCTAAAATATTAACCGCTATTTAACTGACAATTCTGTTAAATTCATTATGAAGATGTCACCCACCACATAAACAGTATATACATGCTTGTGGAATTATATCATTTGAGACTTGCAAAATCATTTGATTTAAATTTCCTATGAATTTTTTTTATCAGACAATACGAAGAAAGAGAACTACAGATACAACAAGAAAGGGCAAAGAAAAGACTGGAATTTGAAAACCAGAAGTTCAGACTTCAAAATCAAATAGAATTTGAAAGATCAAGGGATACAATAGGTATTATTTTATACATAAAAAGATATTGTTAATTTATAATTTATAAATTACTTATTTAAAATATGATGTTACAAATAAAAAAAAATACTAGATAATGCTCATTAAAGAATGCTTATGTTTACTGATAGCAAGCTCAAAGTGGGAATCTGCTGAGGGCTATTTCAGAAAAAACATATGTAGGGGAGGTTTTTTTCCCCTTTTGAAACAGAGTTGTATTTACCTCAAACTCTTTCAGTCTAGGAATTGATTGTGCAATATAAATGTTTCAGTGAATGTGAAAAAATGGGAAAAAGCTGTACAGAATGACGAAAAAGAATTAGATAAAGTAAAAAATGATGAAGCACGACACATGAAGGTTTGTTTTATTACTTCCATAAAAGGTTACAAAATAAAAACACTATATGATATAATTTAGGCATGCAAATTGTGTTTTCTTTATTAATTTATATATATATGTAGGACTCTAAAGTGCGATGGGGACGCTAAAACGCGATAGTCACGCTAAAGTGCGATGGTCTACGCTAAAGTGCGATGGTTTGATATGCTAAAGTACGATGGTTAGTGCTATTTTATGGAACACGCTAAAGTCCGATGCCTCAATACGCTAAAGTGCGTTTTCCCGATAACAGTGGAAATCAACAAAAATGATAGAGCGGATTACCGTAAAAGTGACGCTGTGTATGAAACACTTTAAAAATCATATTTTCCAGTAGTTCAGTAAAATAAATCAATAAATTAAAGTAATGTAAACTAATTTTTGCTTGTTGAACGTACAGTGGCAAATATCACATGCATATACAAGACGATCATACGCATGACCATTTGATCATTTATACTGAAATAATTTAAGTATTTCTACTATTCATGTTAAGGTTACAAAATATAATTTAACCTAAGAGGAAAAGAAGATTCTGGAGCTGGCTCACTTGGATGTTGAGGAATTAAATTCGTCCAATTTTAATTTAGCAGCACCTTCTATGTTTGTAATTCCATGTTATGAACTTGCGTGAAATAAAGTCTACTTTTTTACTTTCTAATGAAATCATTCTTAGACTATAAAACATTTTTTTACAATATGGTTCGTCATTTCTGTTAAAGATATGGATATACGTCAACTAGACAGTAACCTAACGACCAGATAGACCAAATGTCATTAATGTAAGCAACTATAGGTTACCGCATGGCCTTTAACGCGGAGCATTGGCTATCACCGCAAAGTATTCTAACTTGAACGTATATACTAGCAACTGCAATGTACCCATTACACTTTTTTGACAACTATCGTACTTTGAATAAAAAAATGAGACACATATACACCCAAGACCAAATGTCGTTGATATATGCAACTAATAACTACGGCCTTTAACGCGGAGCCTTATAGCCTACGCCGCATAGCAATCTATATATTATACATACATAGGGCCACACAATGTCCAGTGTAAAACAAATAAGAAGAGAAAGGCAACAGCTTGATTAATAAACATAATAATAAACGAAAAACTACAATAATAGGAACACAGAAACAAACGAAAACCATTGCCTGAACCCCATTCCTGTTACACCATCGCACTTTAGCGTGCTATACCATCGCACTTTAGCGTTTGACAACATCGCACTTTAGTGTATACCATCGCACTTTAGCGTATACCATCGCACTTTAGCGTGACCATCGCACTTTAGAGTACCATCGCACATTAGAGTCCTACATATATACACAGTAAGTTTATTTGGAAATTCTCGATTTTAATGCAGATATGCCAATTATCACTTGATGCCAGGACTTAACACCAATTTTTGGCCTTGTTTTATATTTCTTTGCACTATGGAATAAGTATGTGTCTTTATATCGTCTGCCAAAGTTTTGTTGAAATTCACATTAGCATTTTATTCTTTATAAGATGAATATGTAATATGATAAGGCTTTTTTTTTTTTGGGGGGGGGGGGGGGTGGGGGGGTGGTATCCATGACAAAGATTGAAGTCCAGACAACCTCTTTACACTGGAACATAATACCTTTACAGCCCAGCACAATATTAAGTAATACTATCCATTTACCAATCCTTCATCACTTGATGTCAATAGAGTGACTCACCAACTTCTCTACCCTCATTTATTTGAATTCTATCATTTGAATATATACATGTGATCACTGTTCACCTTTTCCTGCTTTTTCTATACAGATAAACAGTCCATCTCTGTAAAACATATTATTATCAATGGCTTTCGGATGAAGCATCATGGAGAATGTCTTAAAATTAAGTTAAAATTGCTGATTTACAAAAATGTGCAAATGATTTCCATACATGTGTAAGATGACCAAAAGAAATGAATTTAGATACATGTGTAAGAGTTCTCTCCCTCACCTTAGGATTTCCCTTGAAATTTAGACAAATGACCAATATAAAAAATTCCAAATGAATGCATTTCTGAAATGAACTGTAACAGATATTCATGAACTATAGCACATAGATAGATGATCACTTGTTATACCATAGCATTTAGCAACATAAATACTGATAATTTTGAATTTGAGTTTTAAAACTACATTGCACACTCTAGTTAGTGTACACATAAATGTCATCCACATATGTTTCGAAACTCTAGTTAGTGTACACTATATTGCTTGATATTGTAGATTATAGAAGAAGAAATGAGTAATCAAGAAAGATTCAAGTCACAGAAACTAACACTTAAGTCACAAGTTGATGATTTTGAGTCAGAAGTAAATGAAATAAAGAAGCGACTGTCGTCTCAACAGAAAGAAGTTTCTGCTGCACAGAAACAGATCTCCTCTGTAGAAACTAAGTTAGAACAGAAGAGAGCAGAAAGACATAGTCTTTTAAAAGCTTGTAAGGTATGTAATCCACATGTTATGTGTGCTACAAATAGTTCATTATTTATTTTATGAATTGAAGGAATTAATAGATGATGATGGATGGCTGCTTAACGTCCAGCGGCAAATTAATATGCATATTCAGGACGTGAACATGTTAATGTAATATGAAATTTAGCCCTGCTTTGTACTAGACCGACTAGCTGAGTCGGATTTTTAACATGCTAGTTCACAAGGTAACAGTCCGCAGACATGTCACCTTACCCGGACACATTATTCTAACTCCGAGCTGACCAGTCTTTGCTCTTACTCCTTAATGCTGCTTGCTTAGCGGAGAAGCAGCAAATACCAATTTTAAAGTCTTTGATTTGACCCGTTAGGGGTTCGAATCCACGACCTCCCGCACTTGAGGCAAACACGAAACTACCGAGGCTGTAAGGAATTAATAGAGAAGGTTTTTCGTCAGTGGGGCTTTTCCATTTAAAAACTGTTCTAGGGAATTTCATGAATAAACCTCAAGGAGATTTGATAAACTTCTGTTATAATGTTAAGTTTTATAAATTTAAGCAGCATGAATACAAGTGTTTAGTATTCCTTCAGGTAAGCTGGTTGTATTCAAGTGGAAACAACAACACAAAACTGACAAGGGGCATGTTTTTTTGTTCTTGTAGTGAGCCAGAAGAGGTCCATTTCTGTTTAGTCTAAATGACATTAATAAATTTATGTATGTAGATATAATAGAATGTGAGCTGTGTGATAAAAGTTTTTACAGTATTGCAGCCTTAGAACATCCCTGTAGGGACTATAAGCTTAATAAATATAAGAACTACATGGACAATAATAGTAAAGGGACGACTATATGATATTTTGGGGAGGGGGAGGGAGCAGGAGGATTTTTTGCGGATTTATGATTCACTTTAATAGGTCCCTAAGCATGCCTATTTTCAGCTCTTACCAGGCCAACCATATTCCTATTCAAAATCCTCATGTCCCCCACCCCAGCCAAAAAAAAAATATCAAATGGTTTTCTCCTTATTTAACACGAGTTTAAATTGATTGATTGTTTGATGCTTATTTTTAACGTCCAGGGACAAATATTTCATGCATTTTCAGGAAAAACATGAGTCTAAAAGTCAGGTATATGATATAAAAATAAGGAGATGTGGTATGATTGCCAACGAGACAACTATCCATTGGAGTTCAAGTGAAGGGGATATAAGGAATTATAGGTAACCGTACGGCCTTCAACAATGACAAAAATCCATACCGTATAGTCGGCTATTAAAGGCCCCGACATGAAAAATGTGAAACATTGAATCGAAAAAACTAACGGCCTTATTATATAACAAAAACAATTTACAAAAAATCAAATATGAGTCAACACACATGAACCAACGACAACCACTGAACTACAGGCACCTGATTAGGGACAGGCACATTAAGAATATGACAGGGTTAAACATGTGTGTGACCGCTCAACTCTCCCCTGAACTGGGACAGTGGTGCAACAATACAACATAAGAACAAACTGTAAAAATCAGTTGCAATAGGATTAATCCAAAAGATACGAGACACAAAAAACAACTAACATTATGACAATAGACACAAAGCACCGAAATAAGAGTATTTGCAGTTACTGAAAGTTTGTGCAAAGCCAATTACAACTAACAAATAAATTTTGTTCTCCCAGACTAAAGTATCAATCAGTACAAAACCAACGGATTTAGTCATAAACAGTCTGAGAAACGCCATGACCATGTATATCTTGTATACATATACAATTAAAGTTCTCAAAAAGTCGTGGTCCGAAAGGTTTTGACCATCGAAATTTTGCAATAAAAATGATAGTTAGGACCAGCAGATTTTCTTCAAGGGCCACCAGGAAAATTTTTTTTTGAGAATTCTGCAATAACTTTTATATATACAAAAATAATCCAGTTCTTTACTTTAAAAAATTTTGATAGACAAGATGTCCTTTTCGATCATATACCAAACAAACATTGACAAATTCTTGTACAGTTTAAGATTATTCCTGAAAATCAATTGGTCGGAGCTTCAAGTCGGATTTGTTTAGCAAAATTGAGCTACCAAGTATAAAGAAAAAATGTCACGAACACAGCGATTTCTTCCAACCAATTTTCTTTGTATTTACACTTATTGTATAATTACACAAAAGCTAAAACATAGCACACTATTACAGACATGTCTACCGAATGAACTGACGTATCTTCTAAAAAATCATCGTAAACTTCGTTTATGTCATCCAACATAAAAAAAATCTGATATATTCGACGGCAAATTGATTTTTTGTTTTTTTCGCTTCTTCTTCAGAATATCTTCAGAAGAGGTCCAGATTCATTTTTTAGGACTCTTCACCAGAAGACATTCTGGAGATGTACAGAAGAGACCAATGAAACACTCCCAAGGTTTATGCCCGACTGTAGCTTGTACAGTTGTAAAATTTCTCATAATCAATGTTTGGTTTTTATTTCAGATTGATGATATTAAGTTACCTCTGTCAAAAGGAACGATGGATGATATAAGCAGAGAGGATGAACCTTCTAGCGCTGTTGATCCTCCATCAGAAAGTACACCAGCCGACAGTATGAGTAGTCAGGGTGCTAAAACAATATATGCTAAAGAAGCACAGATTACTATTGATTATAGTTCGTTGGATGATGACTTGAAGGATGTAAGTTTATTGAAGAGGTTACCTCATATAAATATGGGGATATACTGTGAAATGCTTATTTGTAGGGGTACAAATTTTCATGATTTTCATTGTTAATCAAAATCCAAGGAAACACACACATATTTTCAATTGATTTGATATGTTCAAAGTCAGAAATTAAAAATTACAAATAATCAATCAAATGATTTTCTCAAAAACCTTGGTAGTAGGAAGTCACATATTGAAGTACTGACACAGTGATGTATAATATAATAAAGAACAGTCATATTCATTTACTAGTGTTTATATAACAGAATGTAGCAACCATTTACTAAAGGATTATGAAAAAAAAGTTTCAAAAATTTAGTTTTTTAAGAGAAAAATGTAAAATGAAAAATGTCTATTAGTCTGTACTAAATCTGAAATGTCAAAAGTTTATCATGCTTTTACAAGTAATCTTATAGTGTTAACTATTACATATTTAAATATTAACTATTTCAGTTGGATAGTGCTGAAGAAATCAAGAAGATGATGACACAGTTAACAAAGAATGTAACAGACATGACATCCACTTTACAGAGAATTAATGCTCCAAACATGAAAGCAATGGAAAAGTAGGTTCTCTTTCAACTTTGAAATAGAATAGTCCATCTACAAATTACCCACTTTTGTTTCCAATTTGAAAATCTTTGCAAAAGCAAATTACTCCTAGGTAGAATAAACTCTGCCTATATGAAGCAAGTGGCACAAACTGGCTGTATTGTGCAGGATCTGACTAATAATTTTAACTTCATAAGTACATCACACATCTATAGGAAAAGAAGATTGCAAATGATAGTATGGGGATGTTGGGCGGATGTGGAAAAGCGTGAACCTTATGTGTGTACTCAACTAGAGTATTTAACTGTTATCTCCAAAACTTTACAGAAAGATTGCATGCATGTTCAAGTTGTGCAACTGGTGTAAAGAATATCGTTGAGGAATTTTTTCCCATTTTTCCAAACTTTGGAACTTAGTGATTTTTCAGCAAAATTTACAAAGGTGGTACCAGTTTTGTGACTCATAGTTGTTTACAAATTTGTCCTTTGTCATAGCACATCTCCTTATTTTTATAAAGAAATCTCTTTGATGATTCTTTTTTTTCACATGTATAATTGTTCTTTAAAGATTGGATGGGGTAAGAGAAAGATTTCAAGAAACTGCTGATGAATTTGAAAATGCCAGAAAAAGAGCCAAGAAAGCAAAGCAAGCATTTGAGAAAGTGAGAAAAGAGAGATATGACAGATTTATGTCATGTTTTGAACATGTAGCCACAAGAATCGATGAAATTTACAAGGTAAGTTGCTGTAACATACACAATAGCTTATTACAATGACTTTTGATATGGACAAAAACAATTGAGGTCCCAGTATCAAAAGACTCTTTAGGTACAAATTTATTTTTTATAAACCAGTAATATATCTTCTGATTGTAATTTGTTTAAATATGATATATCTTCAACTAAAATTCATTTTGAATTATGCTGAATTAGTCCAAATTTTTCCCCATAAGATGTTATGCTTCCCTCAAGGAAGTTGCAGCACTATTGGAGTACTAAGTAATATACATCCAAATTTAACATCTATGTTTACCTCTCAAATACTAAATGACCAATAATCATTACTTTGTAAGGGTACAAGTTGAAGAATATAGCAGTTTCCATGAGAAATTGTTCATTTTACTTTGCATTGACCTAAATTAGGAATTGCATTTAAATTCAGATCTCAAATATAAACACTGTTTCTTTATTACTGTTATATATTTAAATAGTTTTCCAATTGATGACTATTTATTTGTAATTTTTTAGTAAATCAATTAAATCATATAAAACTAAAGAAACAGATCGTAATTTATTAACTTTTATGTTTTAGGCTTTATCAAGAAACCAGGGAGCTCAGGCTTTCCTAGGTCCAGAGAACCCAGAGGAACCATACTTAGATGGAGTTAACTATAATTGTGTGGCACCAGGAAAGAGATTTAGACCTATGGATAATTTATCTGGAGGAGAGAAAACAGTGGCAGCTTTAGCTTTGTTATTTTCAATACATAGGTAAAATATTAAATTTTTCAATATATAAAGCATGCAGACATGATATTATCTGCATAACTTCTAATTATTTATGAAAGTATGTGACCAACAAAAAGAAAATGTCACAGTTCCAATCCTTCCAAGTATTATTCTTAAAAAGCTAAAGTGAATTTGATTTAATTAATTAATGGTAAAATAAATATAAGCAATAATATGAGATTCCTCAATGTGATGTTTGGAATGACCAGACTATAGAAACAAATTCAATCTGTCCATGACTGACCAAGAATCAATGAATTCCTCTTCAATAATATTATTGGTGTTAATGCAAATGTATAATTGCTAAATAAAAACAAGTTTATGACAGTAATAGTAAATTTTGTATATCACTATCTGTTTCAGTTTCCAACCAGCTCCATTCTTCGTATTAGATGAGATAGATGCTGCATTAGATAACACCAATATTGGCAAAGTAAGCTATTACTATCTTATTGCTAATTATTTTTTGATTGTGTGTTATAACAAAAATTTCCAATACATTGATTGTATATATTATCTACATGAATGCTTTCCTAATAATTGTGATTTTCTAGTGTTATGTTAATGTGAGACCAAAATACAATTATATTAAAAAGAGATTAATGTTTTTATATGACCGCAAAAAATTTGCGGACATTTGGTTTCCGGACAATAACTTTAGTTTAAGTGTATGGATCTCTATGAAATTAAACAAAAGGTCAATACAACAAAAGGAAGGTTGGGATTGTTTTTTGGGGTGATGGTCCCAACCTTTTAGGAATTAGGGGCCAAAAACAAGCATTTTTCTTGTTTCAGGACAATATCTTGTGTATAAGTATTTTGATTGCTCTGAAATTGTACCACAAGGTTCAATACCACAAGTAGAAGGTTGGGGATTCATTTTGGGGGTAATTGCCTAACCGTTCAGGGAAAAAAAGGGGTCAAAACAAGCATTTTTCTAGTTTTCAGACAATAACTTGTGTTTAAGTGTATGGATTCTCTTAAATTGTACATTTTACAAAAAGAAAATTTCTTCAAATATTTCTTTTGGGGAGGTCAATCTTTTATACGACCGCAAAAAAATTTTTGTGGTGGTATATTGGTATGACGTTGGCGTCGTCGTCACGGTCCGAAGACACATTGGTTTTCGCACTCTTACTTTAGTTTAAGTGAATGGATCTCTATGAAATTTTACCACAAGGTTCAATACCACAAAAGGAAGGTTGGCATTGATTTTGGGGGTAATTGCCTCAAAATTTTAGGAATTAGGGGCCAAAAAAGGGACAAAAAACAAGCATTTTTCTAGTTTCATGACAATGACTTGTGTGTAAGTGTATGGATCTTTCTGAAATTGTACTACAAGGTTCCATATCACAAAGGGAAAGCTGGAATTGAGTTTGGGGGTAATTTCCCAAAACGTTTAGGAATAAGGGGCCAAAAGGGGGCCAAAAATAAGCATTTTTCTAGTTTCCAGACAATAACGTGTTCAAGTGTATGGATCTCTCTGAAATTGTACTGCAAGGTACCATACCACTAAAGGAAAGGCTGGGATTGATTTTGGGGGTAATTGCCTCAAAATTTTAGGAATTAGGGGCCAAAAAGGGACAAAAAACAAGCATTTTTCTAGTTTCAGGACAATAACTTGTGTGTTAGTGTATGGATCTTTCTGGAATTGTACTACAAGGTTCCATATCACAAAGGGAAAGCTGGAATTGAGTTGGGGGGTAATTGCCCAAAATATTTAGGAATAAGGGGCCAAAAGGGGGCCAAAAATAAGCATTTTTCTAGTTTCCAGGCAATAACTTGTGTTCAAGTGTATGGATCTCTCTGAAATTTAACTGCAAGGTACCATACCACAAAGGGAATGCTGGGATTGATTTATGGGGTAATTGCCTCAAGATTTTAGGAATTAGGGGCCAAAAAGGGGCAAAAAAACAAGCATTTTTCTAGTTTCATGACAATAACTTGTGTGTAAGTGTATGGATCTTTATGAAATTGTACAACAAGGTTCCATATCACAAATGGAAAGCTGGGTTTGAGTTTGGGGGTAATTGCCCTAAATGTTTAGGAATTTGGGGCCAAAAAGGGGCAAAAAAACAAGCATTTTTCTAGTTTCCAGACAATAACTTGTGTTCAAGTGTATTGATCTCTCTGAAATTTAACTGCAAGCTACAATACCACAAAGGGAATGCTGGGATTGATTTATGGGGTAATTGCCTCAAGATTTTAGGAATAAGGGGCCAAAAAGGGGCAAAAAAACAAGCATTTTTCTAGTTTCAGGACAATAACTTGTGTGTAAGTGTATGGATCTTTATGAAATTGTACAACAAGGTTCCATATCACAAAGGGAAAGCTGGGTTTGAGTTTGGGGGTAATTGCCCTAAATGTTTAGGAATTTGGGGCCAAAAAGGGGCAAAAAAACAAGCATTTTTCTAGTTTCAGGACAATAACTTGTGTGTTAGTGTATGGATCTTTCTGAAATTGTACTACAAGGTTCCATATCACAAAGGGAAAGCTGGAATTGAGTTTGGGGATAAATGCCCAAAATGTTTGGGAATAAGGGACCAAAAGGGGGCCAAAAATAAGTATTTTTCTAGTTTCCAGGCAATAACTTGTGTTCAAGTGTATGGATCTTTATGAAATTGTACAACAAGGTTCCATATCACAAAGGGAAAGCTGGGTTTGAGTTTGGGGGTAATTGCCCTTAATGTTTAGGAATTTGGGGCCAAAAAGGGGCAAAAAAACAAGCATTTTTCTAGTTTCCAGACAATAACTTGTGTTCAAGTGTATGGATCTCTCTGAAATTGTACTGCAAGGCACCATACATTGTAACACAAAGGGAAGGCTGGGATTGAGTTTGGGGGTGATGAATCATAAGGGGGTTCTAAAAATTTGAGTGGGGATTTTTTTTTTCCTTTTTTTTCTTTAAAATTTTCCATTTTAAATTGGTTATTTCTGATTTATATATAAAAGCAATTAATAATGATATGGTTTGAATAGGTAAATTAAAAAAATTTTAAGTTCTTAGACCACATTCATTCTGTGTCAGAAACCTATGCTGTGTCAAATATTTAATCACAATCCAAATTCAGTGCTGTCTCAAGCTTGAATGTTGAGTCCATACTTGCCCCAACAGTTCAGGGTTCGACCTCTGCGGTCGTATCAAGCTGCGCCCAGCGGAGCATTTTATTTTCCTCAAGATTTAAGAAATTATCAACTTCCAAAAGAAAAAATTCAGGGTCACAATTTATTTTGCTAATTCTTTGTTTATAGTCTGAAAACAGATTTACTAAGTATTGCGCAACAGCACAGTGTATTGCACAACAGCAAGAAATCTTCAATTGAATATAAATTCAAATCATATAACCAATTTCAAGTTTGTATTCTTTATGATTATATGATATTGTTTTTCTTTGATCAGGTAGCAGCTTACATCACAGAACAATCAAGGGCTTCCTTCCAGTGTATAGTCATTTCTCTGAAGGAAGAATTCTTTAACAGAGCAGATTCACTTATAGGAATTTATCCTGAGGTAAACCATTCATTTTACAGTATGGTTAAAAAAGATGTCAGAAGCATAGGCACTTGTTCTTATCTATAAATCATGTTTGTTCTGTGATACATGCATACATTTTGACAATATCAATTATTGAAATGATCAAGTAGGTTTAAGTAGTAATTATTGCAAAGGTTCAGGAACATGTATTCAGAATGCTTAGATATTTGATTTATATACATAAGGGTACTTTTGTGTGGAATAGGCAGGAAATCAGTTTACATAGTAGGTGGTTTCTCAGGGTTAACATGATATTGAGTATATAAGGATAGTTTAAGAAGGGGGGAATAGAATAGAAAAAAAATTTCTGTTGAAATGATTAATAGACCAGAAAATATTTATTTTTATACCGCTGACAAATTTTTTTAGTTATTTGGTTTTTTGAGTTTTTTTGTTTTTATACGACCGCATAAATTAAAAATTTTTTGGTCGTATATTGGTATGACGTTGGCGTCGTCGTCCAAAGACACATTGGTTTTCGCACTCTAACTTTAGTTTAAGTGAATGGATCTCCATGAAATTTCACCATAAGGTTCAATACCACGAAAGGAAGGTTGGGATTGATTTTGGGGGTCATGGTACCAACAGTTAAGGAATTAGGGGCCCAAAAGGGGCCAAAAATAAGCATTTTTGTAATTTTCAGACAATTACTTGTGTGTAAGTGTATGGATCTCTCTGACATTGTACCACAAGGTTCCATATCACAAAGGGAAGGCTGTAATTGATTTTGGGGGTAATTGCCTCAAAATTTTAGGAATTAGGGGCCAAAAAAGGGGCAAAAAACAAGCATTGTTCTAGTTTCATGACAATAACTTGTGTGTAAGTGTTTGGATATTTCTGAAATTGTACTACAAGGTTCCATATCACAAAGGGAAAGCTGGAATTGAGTTTGGGGGTAATTGCCCGAAACGTTTAGGAATTGGGGGCCAAAAAGGGGCCAAAAATAAGCATTTTTCTAGTTTCCAGACAATAACTTGTGTTCAAGTGTATGGATCTCTCTGAAATTGTACTGCAAGGTACCATACCACAAAGGGAAGGCTGGGATTGAGTTTGGGGGTGATGAATCATAAGGGGGTTCAAAAAATTGGTGGGGGGGATTTTTTTTTTTTTTTTTTTTCTTTTTATTCCTTTTTTTTTTCTTTTAAAATTTTCCATTTTAAGTTGGTTATTTCTGATTTATATTTAAAAGCAAATAATAATGATATGGTAGGAGATACACACCAAACAGGATGTGTAAATTATTATATAATAAGTATTGTGCAATAGCAAGAAATTTTCAATTGCACAGTATTGCACAATAGCAAGAAATCTTCAATTGCACAGTATTGCGCAATAGCAAGAAATCTTCAATTTAACAGTATTGCGCAATAGCAAGAAATATCCAATAGCACAATATTGCGCAATAGCAAGAAATTGTCAATTGTACAGTATTGCGCAATAGCAAGAAATATTCAATTGCACAGTATTGTGCAAAAGAAGATACTTTGTATAAATTGCTTATTTCTTGATCAATTTCAATGGGGTTTTATTCTTGAATTCTTGGGGTTCTTTAATATGCTGAATCTAACCGTGTATTAAGTTTTTGGATTTTGGGCCCCGTTTTTAAATTGGTCCACATTGAGGTCCAAAGGGTCCAAAATTTAACTTTGTTTGATTTCATCAAAAATTGAATTATTGGGGTTCTTTGATATGCCGAATCTAACCGTGTATTTAGATTTTTAATTTTGGGTCCCATTTTTTAAATTGGTCTACATTAAGGTCCAAAGGGTCCAAAATTAAACTTAGTTTGATTTTAACAAAAATTGAATTCTAAGGGTTCTTTGATATGCTGAATCTAAACATGTGTTTAGATTTTTGATTATGGGCCCAGTTTTCAAGTTGGTCCAAGTTGGGGTCCAAAATTAAACTTTGTTTGATTTCAACAAAAATTGAATATATGGGGTTCTTTGATATGCTGAATCTAAACATGTATTTAGATTTTTTAGATTTTTGGCCCAGTTTTCAAGTTGGTCCAAATTGGGGTCCAAAATTAAACTTTGTTTGATTTCAACAAAAAATGAATATATGGGGTTCTTTGATATGCTGAATCTTACCATGTATTTAGATTTTTTATTTGTGGGCCCGCTATCAAATTGGTTCATATTGAGGTCAAAAGGGTCCACAATTAAACTTTGTTTGATTTCATCAAAAATTGAATTATTGGGGTTCTTTGATATGCCAAATCTAACCGTGTATTTAGACTTTTAATTTTGGGTCCTGTTTTTTAAATTGGTCTACATTAAGGTCCAAAGGGTCCAAAATTAAACTTAGTTTGATTTTAACAAAAATTGAATTTTTGGGGTTCTTTGATATGCTGAATCTAAACATGTGTTTAGATTTTTGATTATGGGACCAGTTTTCAAGTTGGTCCAAGTTGGGGTCCAAAATTAAACTTTGTTTGATTTCAACAAAAATTGAATATATGGGGTTCTTTGATATGCTGAATCTAAACATGTATTTAGATTTTAGATTTTTGGCCCAGTTTTCAAGTTGGTCCAAATTGGGGTCCAAAATTAAACTTTGTTTGATTTCAACAAAAATTGAATATATGGGGTTCTTTGATATGCTGAATCTTACCATGTATTTAGATTTTTTATTTGTGGGCCCGCTATCAAATTGGTTCATATTGAGGTCAAAAGGGTCCAAAATTAAACTTTGTTTGATTTCATCAAAAATTGAATTATTAGGGTTCTTTGATATGCCAAATCTAACCGTGTTTTTAGATTTTTAATTTTGGGTCCCGTTTTTTAAATTTGTCTACATTAAGGTCCAAAGGGTCCAAAATTAAACTTTGTTTGATTTTAACAAAAATTGAATTCTTCGGGTACTTTGATATGCTGAATCTAAACATGTGTTTAGATTTTTGATTATGGGACCAGTTTTCAAGTTTGTCCAAGTTGGGGTCCAAAATTAAACTTTGTTTGATTTCAACAAAAATTGAATATATGGGGTTCTTTGATATGCTGAATCTAACCATGTATTTTGATTTTGGACATTGGACCATAATAGGTAAATTAAAAAAATTGAAGTTCTTAGACCACATTCTTTCTGTGTCAGAAACCTATGCTGTGTCAAATATTTAATAACAATCCAAATTCAGAGCTGTATCAAGCTTGAATGTTGTGTCCATACTTGCCCCAACTGTTCAGGGTTCGACCTCTGCGGTCGTATCAAGCTGCGCCCAGCGAAGCATTTTATTTTTTATTGCTGTGGTCATTTCCTTATAAAAGGAATAATTAAAAGAGCAATATATTTTGACAGAAGACAAAATTTTATACAATGTTTCAGGTGTTCTTATTGAAAAAACTGTTTATATTGTTCAAATTGAAGTTCTAATGCCAACATTAACAGAAATGTTTCAAAACCATTACCAAAAAGATTTATAAAAAACATAGTCCTAAGAGTCACTATGATAAACTGCTGAAAGTTATATTGAAGATTATTTTGCGAAAGAAAAAAATAAGAAAAAAGAATAGTATGTACAATAGCGTGTACAATAATATATTTTAAGAACTAAAGAATGCCAAGAACATGTATTCAGATATTGTTACACTTTTTGTTTTGTCTTAGATATTAAGTCTGGCAGCTTGCAGAAAATTATTAATTATTATAATTTTTGTTTTCAGCCAGGAGATTGTATTGTGAGTAATGTGTTAACATTAGATCTGACCACTTACCCAGAGAAACAAGAAAATGATACAGACAGTCCTAATAAACCACAACGGTGAAATCACATTAACCGCACTTGATTATAAAGTTCAAAGAACATGTATTGAATTTTATTCTTTAAAAAAAAATGAAGAAAGCAAGTATTGGTTTTATTAAAGCTGTATATTTGTAATTTAAGTTGGAAATATATATTTTCGTTTTATTGTAAAGCATACCTGTTTTCTTTTAACCTTGTAAATGAATTTCTCTGTAAATTTCTAAGGGTTAATTTTAAATGCGAAGGCTAAAATTGATAATTCCATAAAACTACTGCAATATTCATCGTTAATAATGTATGCCAACACCATAATGATCACAACTTTGTAAATAGTCCATAGATATATGTAATCATTGTAAGTGTTCATAGTGTAGATTATGATTTCATATGAAGGTCAACATGACTGAATCAAGAATCACATTCATTAGTTTTTGTTGTTACTACATTCTTGTCGATTAAAAAAAAAAAAAACAATTTAAAGCTGTTGTTTTGTGCCATTATTTTGTTATAAAGTAGAAGACTCTTCATTGTCTTTACCTTTATAAATGAGGTGAACACTTTATTATTTTGAAATTATGTTTATTTCTAAGTGAATCCATTTTTTATCACATTTTACTTTCAACGGTATATCCAATAATGGTAAGTCAATGATATTTTTTATGCAGTTGTATTAGCATTTACATGTCTCATTCCATGGAGATTATATGGCCCTATCCCCTCTTCATGGTTCATTGACGTTGAAACTTTTTCATAGTTAAAATGTTTTAAAAGTTTGTGTTCAAGTCTGTTTAAAGGAAACTATTAAGTCTGATAAGTCAGTGGTGTTCGGTATGAATTTTTTAGCCAAACCCTACTTTCTATCAAAAAAATTGATGAAAGCTTAAAGAACCAAGTTTCATGGGAAAACAAATATATATCCAGAGGTGTGGATTAATTTTTCCTTATTAGGATTCAAAGATTAGAAATACTTTTTCTGCACCAAAAACAAACAAAAATCTCTGACCAGCCAACACATTCTTTTTCAATAGAATATAGGAATCATGGTGTCTGTCCATGTGCCTTGTAAGTGCATCTCCTCCCTCACAGCTAGTCATTTATTGATATAACTTTACACAGTTGTAGAATAGCACCTGAGGATGTGAACAAAGGAATATAATCCTGGTCTTACATGTTAAAAGGGAGATAATCTAAGTTACTTCAAATATGCAATATGTGCAGATAGTCTCATGTAAGTGCAACTTCTTAACAACTAGATGGATATTGATGAACTTTTACAGTTGTAGAACACTACCTGACAATTTGTAATATAAAGGAATTTGAATCTAATCCTGCATGTTAAAGGGGAGATAATCAAGTTTGTGGAGCTGAAGTATCTTTATACGACCGCAAAAATTAAAAAAAATTTTGGTTGTACATTGGTATCACGTCAGCGTCGTCTGAAGATTTCCGGATAATAACTTTAGTATAAGTAAATAGAAATCAATTAAATTTTAACACAAGGTTTATAACCACTAAAAGAAGGTTGGGATTGATTTTGGGGGTTATGGTCCCAACTTTTTAGGAATAAGGGGCCAAAAAAGGGGCCCAAATAAGCATGTTTGTAGTTTCCAGACAATAACTTGTGTTAAAGTGTATGAATCTCTGAAATTATACCACAAGTTTCCATACTACAAAGGGATGGTTAGGACTGGTTGACTTTGGGGGGTTATGGCTCAAACCATTTAGGAATAAGGGGCAAAAAAAGGGGGAAAACAAGAGTTTTTCTGGTTAAAGGACAATTGAGACAATTTAAAAGCAGTGTAAGGGAGGTAATCAAAATCCAAATCAATTTAAATAATGTTTGATTACCTCCCTTACACTGCTTGTAAATTATGTATTAAGAAATGATGATTGTCTGAGATACTGACAATAACTTGAGGGAAAGAATTATTTTTTGGAATAAGGGAAAGGGGGGAGGTGAAAAAAATTGGAGGGGGGCAATTTTTCTCATTTCAGATTTCAGAAATTAAAAGAAAATTTCTTCAAATATTTTTTTTGGGGGGTTAATATTCAACGCAAAAAAACAGGGTAATTTTTTTTTGGGGGGGGGGGTTCAATTCGCATACTGTGGATTCATTTATTTTCGTGGGTATCAATTTTCGTGGATAGAGAAAAAAAGACGTTTCGTGGTATACGTAAATTCGTGGATCGCTGATAACAAACAAAAAAAAAATCCGATACGTAATTCGTGGATTTCTTTTTAATTTAGGAGATCATATACCCTCCTTGGTTTGATCAATAATAAAACAAACAAAAAAGAAAGAATTCATTGAAAAGGTTTTGAATTGTCAAAATCCTCGCTTGGTCATTCTAGGTTAAAGTGTTCATTGAAAACTTCTATTACAATAATGGACAGAGACAACTAATTATTTGTTTGTTTTACAATTTATAAATTCTTGTCGGAATTTTATAAGGCATTTAAAACTCTATGATCGAAAGCTCATTTCCCTAATCACGATATAATATATAAGTATAAGTAAAAGGTGTGAAAATAAATGTTCCTGTCATAAATAATATTACCTACGGGCAATATCCCCGCACCGTTAATCCTATTGATTTTTAATCACCAGTAAACCAAACTATGACACGGTAATTAACAACTTGCATTTATTTTCCATGAACAGTTTAAATCAATTTTAAAAAGTAAATTGTCACTGATATTCGATATATTTATTATTGATTTAATCAAAATACTTGTATCTTCTTACAAGAAAAACACGTGTTATGTTACAATGTTTATCGTTAGTCAACACTATACTAGAACTGCATAACATAACTGGAAATAAACATCCGACTCCATACACATTTCTCGGGATTATTCTTCGTTGAATTCTTAAATTCGTGGTTCGCTGTGACCCACGAAACCCACGAAAATTGGTATACCACGAATAAAAATGAATCCACAGTAGTGTATTGCACAAAAGCAAAAAATTGAATATAAATTCAAATTGTATAACCAATTTGAAGTTCTTTGACTACAGTTATTCTGTATCAGAAACCTATTATCCAAAATTAAATTACAATCCAAATTCAGACCTGTATCAAGCGTGAATATTGTGTCCATTTTGGCCCCAACTTTTCAGGGTTGGACATCTGCGGTTGTATCCAGCTGCTCTCAGCGAAGCAATTTTTTTATTGCAAGTTCTAGTTGCAAGGATTATACCCTTGTTATACCTTTTATCCCCACTCAAGAATTGGATTGTATGCTGCAATGCCCTTGTCCATCCATCCATGTGTCATACCTGTCAACCTATGAAAATGAAAATGCAGGTCATGACCTGCATTGAAAAAGGAAATCTCAGGTCATAATGCATACGAACTTCTTTCAGCTGAATTTAAGTATTTTTTTATATTTTAAATTGAACAGTTTCCAAAACATGTTCACATGTATTAACCGAAAATAATTTAAGACTTTTCATTCATGCATATATTAGCCGTCAAATTAGTAACGTAACACTATTTTATTCAAGCCAAGCTATACCCCCTCTTCTGTATTTATGTACATGCACAAGCCACCAGTTTCACTGTCTGATATGGCTTTTTAGCATCACTTTTCATATCAACTTCATTGAATATAAAGTAGTTGGTATTATGGTATATAGTTTAAGCATTCAAAGGAAGAGGATATGAAAAAAATAAATTTAATAAATATAATTTTTTATTTGTTCTTAGGTAAAAAAAATAATAGAAAGTAATATTCTGATATGTATTTGCATTTATTTTGCCTTAGATTTAATCTTTTTACAAAAAAAAACATAAATTTAAGGAGTATATTGTGAAAGGTGACAGAAAAGGGGAAGTAACTCAAATTTTTTGTCAAACAACTTTGAAATACCTAAATTATTTATGACTAAGGTAAGGTAATTGGTGTTATAAATTTACTGTGTGTGACACCAAAGCTAGCAAGTAAAGCCATGCACTTAATGGGTCACTTAATTTGACAGTTAACACAGCTAGTTGAACCTGTCCAGGATGAATTACAAATTTGCCATTATTTCAAAGGAAAACCACTTATGAAATCCTTCTAAAGGCTCAAGAACCAGAGTGAAAATAGGTCAATTTCAGAATTCCCTGGTTATTAAAATGCCGGGTATTCTAAAAATCCTGGGTGAGAGGTGAAATTCTCGGGTGTCACCCGCAGGATATGGGTCAGTTGACAGGTATGATTTGTTCGTCATTAATTTACGTTACATATTACTGTAAATTCAGAAATTATTGCAAGGTTTTTATTAATGCGAATAACGCGACTGGATGAGTATCGCAACATTAAGATTTCGTATTCTGAAATCTGATTCATATATCTGTATGCAGATGTTTCTACAATCGCAACAATTAATCTCCCATTTTTGTCCATTCCTCTCAAATCGCAATAATAAATGCACACAATAATTTCTTAATATACAGTTCTTGACTTATATAAAGGAATATGATATTTTTTGTACTTTGTAATAATTTAATTTTGGATGTAACGCGTCTTCTGATTGGCGGACAGTGTTTTGTTTATCAGCTCATAGACATAATTTAGTCATGTGACCGTGACGTCGTCAACGTTTTTTCATGATTTACTCCGGTTTAAAATGGAATTTAGAATTAAATTATAAGGAATGACTAATATTTTTTCGGTCTATTCGAAATAACATAAAAAATGTGGTGCACACTTTAAAATAACCCGCTACGCGGGTTATTCAGTGTGCACCACATTTATTATGTTATTTCGAATAGACAGAAAAAATATTACAGTCATTCCTTTAAGAGATGTCTAAATCTGCAAGACTGGAAATTTTTGTTTGATGATACTTTGAACCCTTGACTCACATGCTCAAGTTTGTGAGTAGGTCAGTTTAAGGGGAACCACTAATGGTTAGTCAGTGGTATTTAGTGTGCAGTTTTGTTAGCATTGATATATCTCATTTCCATAGAGATTATTTTTAGCTCACCTGACCCGAAGGGTCAAGTGAGCTTTTCTCATCACTTGGCGTCCGTCGTCCGTCGTCGTTAGCTTTTTACAAAAATCTTCTCCTCTGAAACCACTGGGCAAAATTTAACCAAACTTGGCCACAATCATCATTAGGGTATCTAGTTTAAAAAATGTGTCCGATGACCCCGCCAACCAACTAAGATGGCCGCCATGGCTAAAAATAGAACGGGGTAAAATGTAGATTTTGGCTTATCTCTGAAACCAAAGCATTTAGAGTAAATCTGACATAGGGTAAAACTGATAATCAGGTCAAGATCTATCTGCCCTGAAATTTTCAGACAAATCTGACAACCCGTAATTGGGTTGCTGCCCCTGAATTGGTAATTTTAAGGAAATTTTGCAGTTTTTGGTTATTATCTTGAATATTATTATAGATAGAGATAAACTATAAACAGCAATAATGTTCAGCAAAGTAAGATCTACAAATAAGTTGTCATGACCAAAATTGTCAGTCGACCCCTTAAGGAG